GTCTGGTTGGGAGGGAGAATGTTTCAGGCATGGGAAACAGCCAGGACAAAGGTCCAGAGGTTGGCAGGAGAGCGTCATATAGGTGAGGAACAGCGAATAGGCCAGCCTTGTTGGGTTTGAGATGCTGGGAGGGGGTGAAAGTGTAAGAAAGGGTCATGTTGTGAAGAGCTTTAAGTGCCCCAGTCTGCCAGTCAGTGCGAATTTAGTAAACCCCTGCCGTGTTTATTTTGTTTTGCTTTGGTTTTTTGATAGAGAAAAAATAAGTCGCTCAAAAGAGAAAAGAGAGGATCACGAGGAAGGGGCATCACAGGAGGAGGAATTGCCTAGCTCCTGAATTGTTTCTCTTTTCTTTGCTAAGGAGAATAACTTTGGGGCAGCTAGATGGCGCAGTAGACAGAGCATCTGCCATGGAGTCAGTAGGACCTGAGTTCAAATCCAGCCTCAGACACATGACCCTGGGCAAGTCACTTAACCCCTATTGCCTTGCCAAAAAAAAAAAAAAGAACAACTTTGAATTGCCAGGGACAAAACAACAATGCCTAAAGCCAAGAAAAGTACAGAGAGGAGCACCTGGCTGCCCCTGGCCAGTTCAAGTCACTGAGCCTGTGGCAGAGAGAACTTTGTTTCTAAATTTTATTTTCCGCTCCAAATCCTCTCCCTCCTACAGGCCTTCTCCCCAGTGAGAAGGCAAGAACAACAAAACTTGTTATAAACATGTAGAATCTAGGAAAATCCATTTTCACATTAGCTATGCCCTGCCCCTCCCCAGAAAAGTGCATCTCAGTCTGTGCTCTTGAGCCTATCACTTCTGCATCTGCAGGTGAGCAGCCTGTTTCAGCAGTGGTCCTCCGGAGCTGTGCCTGATCATGGTGCTGATCAGATTCCTCGGTCTGTTATTGTATAGAACTTGTTCTTCTGCTTCTGCTCCCCTTACTTTGCATCAGTTCGTACATCTTCCCAGCTTTCTCTGAAAGTATCCCCTTCCTCATTTCTTACAGCATAATAGTATTGTATCACATTCACATACAGTAACTTGTTCAGCCACCCCCCCAGTTGATGGGCATCTCCTCAGTTTCCACTTCTTTGCCACCACAAAAAGAGCTGCTATAAATGTTTTTGTACATATGGGCCCTTTTCCACTAACTTTCTCTAATTGCTTCCCTTGATCTTTGATCTCCTGTATGCAGACAACATTAATGCTTTCTCTGGGGGTGGATAGCATTTTTCATCATGAGTCCTTTGGGATTGTCTTGGATCATTGTATTGCTGAGAAGAGCTATGCTATTCACGGTTCTTCATTGAAGAATGTTGCCATTACTGTCCATGATGTTCTCCTGGTTCTGCTTACTTCTCTTTATGTCGGTTCATGTAAGTCTTTCCAGGTCTTTCTGAAATTATTCTGCTTGTTTCTTATAGCAGAATAATATTCCATTGCATTCATATACCACATCTTGTTCAGCCATTCCCTGATTAATGGGCACCTCCTCAATTTCCAATTCTGAGCTACTATAAAAAGAACTGCTATAAATATTTTTGTACAAATAGGCCCTTTTCCCTTTTTTTGAATGTCTTTGGGATACAGCCAGGTGCAGAGTTTTATAGCCCTTTGGGCATAGTTCCAAAATGCTCTCCAGAATGGTTGGATCAGTTCACAACTCCACCAAGAGTGCATTAGTATCCCCTTTTTTTTGTCATATCAGCCAATCTGATAGGTGTGACGTGATACCTCCGAGTTGTTTTAGTCTGCATTTCTTTATTCAGTAGTGATTTAGAGCATTTTTTCATATGACTATAGATGTCTTAGTCTGAAAACTGCCTATTTATGTCCTTTGGCCATTTATCAATTGAGGAATGACTCAGTTCTTTATATATTTGAGAAATGAAGCCTTTATTGGAGATATTTGCTGTAAAGAAATTTCCCCCAAGTTTTCTCCTTCCCTTCTACTTTTGATCGCATTGGTTTTCTTTGTGCAGAATTTTAAATTTTATATAATCAAAATGATCCATTTTACATTTCATAATGCTCTCTGTCTCTTGTTTGGTCCTAAATTCTTCCCTTATTTATACTGACAGGTAAACTACCCAATGCTCTCCTCATTTGCTTACGGCATCACCAGCAGACCTTTTCCAGCCCCAACCATTAGTGCCTTTCATGTGGTAGGTCCCGGTTACATTGAGACATTATACACTGTACATGCCTTGTATGGACATAGTGGTTTGCATGGTTATTCCTTATCTCCCCATTAGAAGGGGAGCCCCTTGAGCACACTGCTGCCAAGGCTAATTCACTCTAGCACCTACTTACGGAGCTCACTGCCTGCTTTGCTTTCCTTGGCCTCATCTTACTGAAGATGGGACATCCATGGCCGAGCCTTCAGGTCGATCTCAGGGTGACCTAGGGTAGCATGAAAAGGAGTGATTGTTCTTTAGGCGCCAGCAGCCCCAGCCTCTTTAGGTCTGCAGAATATTGGGAAAACAGAAGAAGAAATGAACAAGTGTCTGATCTCATCCAGCTTTTGGGGATCTCCAAAGATTTCCAAGACCAAAAGCCCACATGCACAGAAGGCTTAAAATTTCAAAATTCAACATTCAGTTCAACTCAATAGGAAAGAAACCTTCATTTTTCCACCATGTCCTTTGCAAGGGCGTGAGGTCTAAAACAGTTGACCTCATGCCTATGATAGGCAAAGGCCTTTTTGTCTGAGATCCTGAGGGCAAGGCCACGCCAAGTCTCTTTACTTGGATAGCTGTGCAGGGGATTATCGGTTCAGGAAGGGCTCCCACATCCTCCCCGGTGTCATCCTCTCTTCTCTTCTTCTTTGTGGAGCAAGGAAGTTATTCCCTCTTTGCTGCTTGTAAAATCAAGTTGAAGTACAGTAAAATCAAATTGGAGGGGGTAGGGAGTTTAAAATGATGACTGTTTCCTTCTTCATCTTAAATCCTAAGGACATTGTTTTTTGTAGGTATGCGTGTCATTAGGGAAAAAGTTCTTCATTCCTCCCCAAGGGTCTTTTCCCCCCTCTTTTAATGTGAACCGATTGAGAGCTTGGTAAGATGGCTGCTGTTCACAACTGCTAAGTTTAGAAGTGTTCTCCATGCTCAGCTGTTGAAATGAAACTGTCTCTAGTTCTCTGGCTCTCTGAGTTTGGGGAATGCACATTTGGTCTGGGGCCAACTCTCATCCTTTAGAGAGATTCACAGAGCCTTGTCCACATCATTATGAAATCAGAGAAAATTGGCAATGCATGCAAATTGGGTAAGGACTATTCAGACAGAATCTACCCAGATTATCCTTTGTTATCCTGAGTTATCAAACTGAATATTGTCTAAGGGCCTTTGTTTTTCCCATAGCATCTGTGTGACCTTGGGCAAGTGACTTAACCACCCTGGGCCTCAGTTTCTCCATCTCTTCTGGCTCTAGTTGTAAGAAGCCATGATCCTCATAAATAGACAGTCAGTGTAAGCTTGTAGCTGGCTCTTATTTCAATCCACCATGGAGTTTGATGTCATGGGAGAAAGAACTCATCACATAACCTTATGTGACTTATGTGTCTTAAGGGGAGAGTGAGGGACCTCTGAGGCCTTGGTCTCTAAAGTAGGAGTTGGGGTAGGATCCCAAAGTATGTCAGAGGCTGGGAAGATGGGCAGCATTGCCATGGGCCCCATGATAAGCAGGCTTGGAGCTTGTCCAGCAGCTTCACACCCACCGTAACTCCCCACACCCTCCCACTCTGCCCTGTCCCTGGGCTGTGTTAGCTCCCACCTCTCCCACCCCCATTCCCTCAGGAGACTAAGATTGGCTTCTGCAGGCAAGTTATGCCTTAACTGAGCAGGGAATGCTCAGAGGCCTTATCAATGGATCACATCATTCCAAAAGTATTTATAGCCTGGTCCCTGGGGATGAAAGCCTCCTTGCTGGAGCTGCAAGTTACCACAGCTTCAGCAGGCCAATGTTCCAGACTGGGGCAGTGACTGGGGAGCAGGAAAGAGCCCCACCTCAGCTTCTCCTGGGTGCGACAGTGCATGGGACCTGAGGAGCAGGTCTGGCTACCTTCTCTTCTCATCCCAACTTCCTTCTTCCCTCCAGTCTGACCTGGCAGGCCCAGTCAGTCTGCCAACCTTTCCTCTCATCTGTCTAAACCTCTTCCCTCAGCCACCCTGGTGCAGGCCCTGAGGACCTCTTGCATGCACTGTTCCTGCAGCCTCTTCCTCCCCTTTTCTTCCCTCCCCCAATAACTCCCCTCCCCAGGGCTCTGCTCCTTCCACATTCAATAGAAAGTCCTCTGTTGTCCTGGCCTGGCCCCACGTTTCTTCCTCAGCATTCGTTGTCTCCTGAGCCTAGGATACTTTTGGCCCTCACTTCTGCCTCTCACAGTCCTTTGTTTTTTTTAATATTCTGCCCAGTGCCTCCTGCATTTGGCGTTTCCTGATTCTCTCCTCCTTTGCTCCCTACCAAAATGACCTGCTGTTTATTTCTTATAGACTTAACTGACATTTTAGATAGAGCATAAGCTCTTTGAGGGCAGGGGGAATGTCGTTGGTCTCCCCAGCACCCAGCAGAGTGTAATCAATGCACATGATCAGTACGCTTGTTGAGGGATGGAGGGATGGTGCTGTGAGGACCAGCAGCAGTTCAGGACTCTTCTTTGGGGCATTCTGGGTCCTCAGCAGATTCTGTCCAAGCCAGAGGGGACCTTTGGCTTTGTCCATCTGGACCACAGCTCCAGCGTGCCAGATCCAGATATGTAGCTGTCTATAGACATTGTGCACCTTTACCAGTATTCGTGGGGAGTGAATCCTGGCTTCTCTTTACGCTCATTTTTTCTATTGCTGTCAGAATCCTCTGCCGCCTCCTCCACCCCCCCCAGTGTAAATCTTGCCTGCTTAGCAGGATCTCAAGCGTGTCCCTGCCCCTGCCCCAAGTGGGGTATAAAGGGGGGACCTATCTCCTGGCATTGGTCATTATTGATGTCTGAACCATGTGTTTGTTCATGTTGCAGATGGCCAAAAGCTTCAAGGCAGTCCCGGAACCATGATGGCTCAATTTCCAGCTGTTATGAATGGTAAGGCATGGGGGGAAGGGGCACACTTGTTTGCTTCTTTGGGGTTAGCAGCCTTTCCTGGAAGCTCTTGGACAGACCTCCCGCTAACGCTTGCTGGTGCTGCCTCCGGTACAGGCAGCAGGCAGCCCCTGAGCCTCATGTCTTCCAAGCCCAGGGGCGCTGTGGGAGGGAGGCCTGTGTGGAGCTGGATCAGAGGGTGGGCTTGGAGATCCCCCCCATGACCCGTGGCCCTTCTGCCAGGATGTCAGTACGTGGTCACACCCAGGATCACATTTGGCAGCTTTTCCAAGGGAGAGCAGCCCTGCCACCCTTGAAGCCCGATGTCAGTGTCTTTGAGGCAAAGTCAGCTGCCAGGGGCAGGCATTCAGGGGACAGAAACCCCCAAAAGGCTCTCTGTCTGGTGAATACATCAAGTCATCTCTGCTGCTGTTTAGGCTGCCCTCCCCCTCACTTTCTCCCTTCTTTTTGAGTCTCCTCTTTCTCCATTAGACTGATTCTCCTCCTCTCTCTCCCCCCCCTTTTCTCCCCTGTCCCTCCTCCTCCCTTCCCCTCTTCTGTACCTCCCCCTCCCCCTCTTCCTCCTCCCCCCTCTCTCCTCTCCATCCTCCCCTCTCCTTCCTCCCCTCTTCCCCTCTCTCCTCCCCTCTCCCTCCTCCCATCCTCCCCCTCCCCCTCCTCCCCATCCTCCCCCTCCCACTCTCCCTCCTCCCCTCCTCCCCCTCTCTCCTCCCCTCTCACTCCTCCCCCATCCTCTCCCTCCTCCTTTCCCTCCCTTTCCTATTCCTCCTCCTTTTTTCCCCCTTCTCTCCCTCCCCCACCTCCTTTCTCCTCCTCCTCCTCTCCCTCTTCCTCCCCTTCCCTCTCTTCCCCCCATCCCTCCCTCTCCTCTCTCTCCTCTCCCTCCTTCTTTCCCCCTTCTCTCCCTCCCCCACCTCTTTTCTCCTCTTCCTCCCCCTCCCCCTGCTCCTACCCCTGCTCCTCCCCTTCCTCTTCCGTGTTTGGAAGCTAACCCTCAAGGTGGAAGCGGTGGCAGGTGGGTGTCTGTTTTCTGTCATTGGCTTTTGCCAGTGTCTAGCTTAGCCTTTCCCAGTCATGCTGTACCATCCATCCCACCCCAAGGGCTGGTTTTCAGCTCTGGGGGCACGTGTCACTCTCAGTCAGCAGGATCTCATGGCTGTGTCTTATCTGTGTGTTTTTCTTTTCCATATCAAAACAAACATTTTAATAAACATAAAAACAAATAACAATGGATCTTTCTCTTTTTTAATTTTCATCATTCACTTCCATAAGCTTTTGAGTTTTAAATTTTCACTGCCTCCCTCCCGAAGAGGGCGTGCAATCTGATATAGGCTCTACAGATACATTTCTGTTCAACCTATTTTCACATTAGTCATGTTGTAAAGAATTCCCTGTGTGTTTTCAGGTGGCCCTAACATGTGGGCGATCACCTCAGAAGAGCGAACCAAGCATGATAAGCAGTTTGACAGCCTCCGGCCAGCTGGAGGACACATCACAGGTCAGTGTGGACGCTGCTGATGTCACCTTGCTCCTCTGTGTCGGTGGCACCTGGCTGGGCCTGCCTGTGTCCGCCAGCTCACTGCCTGGTGTGGATGAGCTGAGCTCAGAGGGTTTCTTTCTTCCCTCTGCGTCAGTTTATATGAGAGTCTCCCCAGGTTCCTGCAAGTTTTTCACGCCCTCTTATTGTACATTACCTGGAGATTGGCTGTCATCAAGTCTGTTTTGCTAACTTATCATAAAATGGTTCAGCCAGATGTCCATCTCAGATTGGTTGGGAACCACTGATAAGGAAAATTCTGGTTAAGTGTGGATTGTTGGTTACACAGGAGGCTGCTTTGGGAAGGGCAAAGGGGAGGAAACCCACTTTGATAAAGCACCTACTGTGTGCCAGGCACTGGGCTGGCTTTATAAATAGGATCTCCTTTGATCCTCACCATCTCCTGGGAAGGGCAGGGCACAGAGGCAGACAGGGGCTCACAGTGTGGTATGGAGCACCGCTCAATAAATGCATATCGATTGCTGATTGATTGCTGAAGTCAGGGGCTAATTTTCATTCTTGTTTCTGCTGCAGGAGATCAAGCACGTGGTTTCTTCTTACAGTCTGGCCTCCCAGCTCCTGTTTTAGCTGAAATATGGTAAAGCATATTTCTTTTTTGATTGAATGGGTGGTTGCTGTTTTTCAGATGAAGCGTGTTAGAGCAGACAAGTTAGAACCTGCATTTCACTGTACTAGTTGAAAGCCAAAAGGAGAGATTGTGGATATTGTTGAGGAAATTCTTCTGATTGATAGAAGAAGGCAGCAGAACTTTGGGTCTAAGGGGCTGTCAGGGAGCTCTGGCTGTTAGGCACCCCCACCAGGACAGTGCCACTGCTAGGGCGGAGTTTCCTGGCTTCCTGGCTGATTTCTGCCTCGACGATGCACTTGAGAACCTCTCTCGCTCCCCCTGAGCCCTGTCTTCTGAAGAGGAGCCCTTCCTGTCCTCCAGTGGCTGCTCTGGTTCTGTAGTGTGCCATCTCCATACTTTCTCTCCAGATTTCTTCATTTCTCAGTTCATTTTAGAATCTTTCAGATTTTTTTTTGTTGCTGATTCTGCCATCTTTAGTTCCTAGAGAAATTTTTCCTCCTTTTATAGCTTTTCCATATTTGAATTCTTGGTTTTTTTGTTTCCCCCCCTCTTGGGAATGTCCAGTCTTCTTTGCATGCCTTTGTCCATTAATCCTCACTTGATGTCAGCCAGGCAGTAAGCATTTATTAGGTGCCTACTGTGTGCCAGGTGCTGTGCTAAGCACAGGGTATACAAAGACAGGCAAAGACAGTCCTTCCCCTTAAGGAGAAGAAATCCAAATTCAGACATGCCTAGAAATACTTTGGTACGAGCCTGGAGTCTGCAGGTCTTCTGAACTTGTAGGTCACCTGAACCTGATGTAGAAGGGACAGACAGAGGCAATGAGCAGTCATTGGTAGTTCTTGAGACCACATCCCCAGCCTGGAGCCCAGTAATGCTAAAATGCCCGAGAAGGAACAATCAGAAAGAAAACCAGAGACCCAGTGCAGAGGTCCGCAGTGCCAGCCTGGATTGCACACAAAATCCCCAGAGCCCTGGGGGAACTGAGCAGAAAGAAGCCAGAGTCAACGGAAGGCTACCCAGACAGACCCATGTGTGGATGGCGCAGTGTCCACACCTGAGGCACAGCCAGAGGGAGGACCAGGCAGTTGCAAATTGCGGGGACCTGCTGCCCACCGTCATCAATATCTGGTTGGGATGGCATCATGCCAAGTTCAGAGCTGTGCAGACAGAAAGAGGCAAGGTCAAAACCAGAACCAGGAGACTGGGAATTCCTGCAGCAAGGTGAGCCTTGTCCTAGCCTGGCATCTGTCAGGCCCCAGGCAGGGTCTGCCCACTGCATCCCGAGGGCCAGAGGGAGCAGAGTACGTGCTGAGCACAAAGTACGAAGCCCAGTACAGAAAGGCTGTGGCCTGAGAGCAAGCCAAGGGAGGATCTCAGAGAAGGCCAGGCCCTGGGACTGCCAGAGTGCCCAGAAGAAATGAAACAAAAGATGGAAAGGGAGCAGGAGCAGAACCTTTGCAGAGAACTACTGGGCTTTCTAGGAAGATAGCAGTCCTCAGGGTCAGAGGTCTGTTTTGGAGAGGCTAGAAAGGAAGAGCCCTGCAAAAAGGCTGCCCCGGATGACCTTGGAGAGAATGTTTGAGTGAAGTTGGAAACTGAGAAATAGCCAAGAGGCAGTGGGCAAAGGGTTGAGTAGTTTGTCCTAGAGTGCAGTGGGCCTGCCTCACTGGAGGCGTCTGGACAGAGGCTCAGCCCCTCATAGCTCCCCAGAATTCCCTGCCATGTGCAGTTCCTCGAGCCCTCATGCCTTGCTCATGCCTTCCCAGCCTGCCTAGCACCTCTGTTTGGGTCTTTTGCCATCACTTAGATGAGTTTAGTGCCCCCAAACTGGCCTCTGGTGATTCCCTTGTCTTCCCCTCCTGGTCACTCACTCCCCAAGGTCATCCTGGGTGGCTGTGTTCCAGCTCTCTCTTCCCTGGCACATACCTCTCCAAGGCACCATGAGTGACCCGCAGCTGGATGTCTCTGGGGGCCTGGCGTTGAGCAGCTCATGGCTGGGGAGCATGGCTGGAGTGGGTTGGACCCTTGATTCAAGGAGAAGCTGAGACCAGCAAAGGTCCTGAGCATTTTCCCCAAAGACAGTGATCTCTGCCTTCTTCCCCTTCCTCTTCCTTCTCCTGTTTGTTTCTGGACCCATTCAGATAAAAGGCCTAACCCTGGTCCTGGGCCCTCCCAGAGCAGCACCAGGGTCCTCCTCTTCTGTGGGTCCTAGAGCTTGAAGCTAATGTTCTTCCCCAGAGTTGGCCTCAACTCATTGCCAGCTGTCTCTTCCCACAGTGGCCCAGCTGTCTCCTCCCCAGCCAGAGCAGCCCTTGTGGCCTGACCCCAGGCGAGTCAGTCCATCCAGGTGTGGAGCTCTGCCCTGTGGCTGAGCTGTAGCAGCCCCTGGAGTCCAGTCACATGGGCTTAACCTCACCTGTTGCCACAAATATTTGAAGAGGGACATTCTGCATCTTTGCATCTCTCTGCCCTCTCCTCTTTGACCCCAAGCTAAACATTCCAAGAAATCTAACAGATTTTCCTAGGGCATGATTTCTAAGTGTTCTTCCCATGTTGGTCACCCTCTGCTGGGTATATTCCAACTCTCCACAATCCTTCCCAAAATATGCCCCAAGAAAAGATGGGGCCTTCCCACAGTCCTGTGCGGGGGGAGGGGGAAGGAGGAGGGGTGGGGGAGTCCCTTAGGGCCCCCTGCTCCTTTTCCCCTGAGCCTTGGTGTCACTCTCTCCCCTTTTCTCGCAGTTCTGTGTTGAACTATGCATTGTTCCCTGTTATATTTGTCCTACTGTTCAAAAGAGGGGCAGGGACGGAGACCATGACTCCTAGCCCTGTTGTCGAGGACGTGATTACAGGGACAGTTAGTGAATCCTTAGAAAAAGAAGCTTTGTCTACCAAAGAGCCTTCTTTCCTTTGTTAGCGTCACTGTACTGGCAGCTCTGGCTAATGCCAAAGGCCTAGTTTCTGTGGACGGTGGCGCTGTGTTTGTTTGGCAGAGCCTCTCCTGGGCAAGGAGAGCACAGAGGTGGCGTTGATCCTGCTCTGACTCCTGCAAAGACCCAGAGAGTGGACACGGAGGCTGTGTTGTCAGTGGTGCAAGTAGAGTCTGCAAAGCAAGGTCTCCAGTGGAGAGCCCTAGGGATCTGCCTGGCCCTGGTCTTTGGGCTCTTTTAGCAAGACCTTGGATGACAGTGGAGAGTATCACATTTGAAACTAGGACAGCTGCTGTTGAGACCAGAATGTGTCGGGCCATGTAAAAAGAAATGAAATTAGTGAGAGGGAAAGGAAAGTCTTGCCCTTACACCTTTTTAGGTACGACATGGGAAGATAACGCGTCATCTGTCTGAAAAGGTTCTGGCAATCTGAGTAGACCCCAAGCTCAGTCTTGAGTGAGCAGTGTGAGAAAGCAGCCCAGGCAGGAGGTCTATGCCGTTGTCCAGTGACACAGCGTGGCACAAGACAAAGTTGAGATAGATCCGTTGGTTTTAGGCTGTGTCCGGAAGGGCCATACCGTCAGAAAGAAGGCCGTGGTCGTCTCTTGGTCCTCTGTCCCTTTGGATGAGGACCGGCTGACAGACATGTGGCCGGGGGGGGGGGGGTCTGGAGGGCTGGGCGGGGTGAGAGCATTCCTTTTGTTCCTCCTCCAGCACGGAGGACTGCACGGTAGGGGTTGAGGCTGGGGGTCAGGAAGGCACCCTGGCACTTGCGAGCACAGTTAGGGTTGCCATGAGGAAGCGGAGATGTCCCTTGTCTTCCCAAGTTCTCTTGCCCGTGTTGTTAGCATTTGTTCTTTGGTGGCATTGAACCCTTGCCTCTGAGAAGGATGCAGTAGATACAGAGCACGTGTCTCATGTCACACCCTCGATAAGTGAACTCCTTTTCTCTTCACCCTCAGGGCGTTATCGGACTTGAATAAAGATGGGAAGATGGACCAGCAGGAGTTCTCCATCGCCATGAAGCTCATTAAACTGACACTGCAAGGGCAGCGCCTGCCTCCGTCCTTGCCTTCTGTCATGAAGCAGCCACCTGTGTTCTCCCCCTTGACGTCTGCGCGCTTTGGTAGCTGGGGATGCCGTTGGCTACACTTCCCCTCAGATCTGCCCGTTTCAGTGGATCTGAGCCTGGCCTGGCTCGAAGGGGCCTTGGGCACCATCTGGCCTGCCGCAGGGAGGGTTGGGGTCAGGATTAGGCAGCCAGCAGGTGGCAAGGTGGTCCCTTCTCCAGTGGTGTCATTCCTTACAGATCTCTGCTCCCAAATAGCAGCCTTGACCCCAGCATTTTCATTAAAAGGTCTGCCAGAAAAAAAACAAGGCCAGTGACCACCCTCTTGCATCCAGCTGTCACCATGTCCTATGTAGGGCCCGCAGTGCATTGAGTCAGACAGCCCCGCAACATCTACAGACCGTTTCTAGCCATCCCTGGAGACCCAAAGTAGCAGGGACCTTAATGGAGGCAGCTCATGCTGATGGTGTCTTCCAGGGGTCTTCAGATGTGCTCAGTCTTTGGGCGGGTCTGCTGCTGGCTGTCACCTGGAGCCTACTGCTTCTGTGGGAGCCTTTCTCCCCACGGAGCCAGGGCCACATGTGGCTTGGCCTGCTGAACCTCGTTCCCTGAGAGCCCATCTGGTGGGCAAGGACCCGGGTGGTTGCCCTCAGCCACAGCCTCCTGTGTCATCACCACAGAGTTGGAACCTGGCAGCATTGTACAGAAACTCCCACAGTCACATAGGCTGCCCCCGCTGTGACTCAGTGGGCAGCCTGGCCCACAGTGGGCGAGCCTCCTTAGGGTCCCCAGGAGCTTGGCAGAGACCTAGGGCGAGCATCCATTGCCTTTAGACCTCACTCAATAGTGATAGTCATGGAACGAGGTGGCATAGTGAGCATGGTGGGGCACTGGGGCCCCCTTCCACACCCAGCAGTAGTGAAGAGTTAGAGTGAGCCCACGAGGAGAGTCTGGCTGTGTGTTCCCCACAGAGATCTTCCATAAATGTCCTAGGCCGTCCCATGCCCAAGACGCGAAGGCCTCGCTCAGACCCATTGGCTCTTGTGTGAGAAGGCAACCCCCAGCTCTGCCAGGTCATGGTGGTTCTTCCCCCTCAGGGTCATTGTGAGCCTGGCGTTGTTCTTAGGGCACGCCCCATTTTTCCTCCCTGGTGTAAGAAGTCAACCCAAGAAACCCTTATCCTCTCCTGGGGCTGGACACAGAGTCCAGAAGACCCATCATCATGTCCTTCCATGCTCCTTTCTGAAAAGGGTGGCCAGCCCTCGCACCCACACCCGCCCACGGAGATGGCTTGTCTGTCTGCCCTTCTGTGTACTTGTGCATCTCCCAGAACCTCTGCTTTCCTTTCTCCCTTTGGAAACTGGGGAGATGGCACTGGGTGATTTCTGGTTCCTTCTGGCCCCTCTGTCCTGTGCGCAGATGTTGACCACACCCTCTGTTCACCTGAAACGGTTCTCATTACGTGCCGGTTGTCCTTCCTTTTGAGGCGTCCCTGTTCCTGTGAGCAGCTCTCGGGAGAGAAAGAGAAGGCATGGCCCAGCCATCGCATAGAGTGGCTGCCCAAGGGCTTGCCCATGTAGGCAACCATTGGAGCATCCGCTTCCTTGCTGGCACCACGTTGAGCTGTAGGGAGGCCAGAACACTCCTTGAGAGGTGGAGGATGGTGTGTGCGTAACCTTGTCGGGCAGGCAAGGGCATCAGAGAGGAGTCCGTGCAGGGGATGGGGCCTGTGGCACAGCTTTGGGCCCCTCCTTAGAAGTGCACCTTTCTCTTAGGGCTTGAGTCATGAGCAGGGGGTGGTTGGTCTCAACAGAGGTCTGGTGTGTCCCCCACAGGAATGGGAAGCATGCCCAACCTGTCCATCCCTCAGTGTGTGCCCCCAGCCGCACCCGTGGCACCTGTGTCCTCGAGGCCTTCCGTTACTTCCCTTCCTCCCTTGGGGATGCCCGCTCCCCTGGTGCCCTCCGTTAGTACATCATCATTGCCCAATGGAACTGCTGCTGTGCTCCAGCCCATGGCTGTCCCCTTCTCCTCAGCCAGTAAGTGCCGTGGAGCATGGCTGGGTGGTGTTTGTGGGTCCCTGTTGGGGAGGGTCCAGCAAGGACACATCTGCTGCTTCTTTCTTTCAGCCTTGCCCCACATGTCGTCCTACGGTCTTTTGATGGGCAGCTTTGGGGGTTCTTGTATCCAGAAGGCCCAGTCCCTGATCGACTTGGGATCAAGCAGGTATGAGCTCTGTGGAGCCCTCGGTGCCCCCGTTTTCCTCCTCTGAGGGCTTCTTCTGTAGCGATTGCAGTGCAGCTGGGGCCGGAGCACTGGGGCATTCTGTTCTGCTCTGAAATGAGTTGTCATTTTAGATTGGAAGAAAGAAAGGGTGGCTCTGTACCCTCTTCCACTCCCCAAAAAACCCAGCCCCCAAGACACTTTCCCCAGAACCTTTAGTAATTATGGGGGTTAATGTTGTGTCAATGCACTATTTACATTTTGCGTGGGGAAAAAAACAGTGTCTGTTTATAAGACCCCATCCCTACAATAAAACGTCCTTACTCTTGAGGTCTCTTGTCCAGCTGTTGTCCAGGAAATGTTTGAAAGCTCCTGAAGATATGTGACACGTCAAACAGTTACAGGGTCTGTTAATGGACTGTTTTCACTGATCGACTCTGCTTAGTGTGCAGGGTGGACGCTTGCCCTCCCCCTCCCCGCGAGGCCCACCTGTCTGGCAGGCTTCTCGTGCAGAGTCTGGGCTCCTGAGCGTGTGGCCGTCCCAGCGCTGTCCGAGCCTCGAGCCTTGAGAGCTGGCCCTTGCCTCTGGGCCACATGGGGAAGGCTGCTGCACAGCTTCCCTGCTTCTCTTCCCTGCAGCTCCACGTCCTCCACGGCTTCCCTGACAGGGGGCTCACCCAAAGCTGGAACCTCTGACTGGGCCGTCCCGCAGCCCTCGAGACTGAAGTACCGCCAGAAGTTCAACAGCTTGGATAAGGGCATGACAGGCTACCTCTCAGGTGAGCAAGGCTGGCCTGGTGAAGACAGGGGGGTTCTCTTTTTGGAGCCGAACATTTAAATGTCGTTTTCTTTAAAACGATAACGTTATTCCTTTGTCAGAAGATCACTTCATCATCCACAGCCAGGTGCCTCGTTTTAATCCAGGGAGTCAGAGGTCAGATTGGGAATCTGTCTAGGGCATTGTGAGGTGGAGGGCCCCTACTGGACCTTGGCCAAGGATTCCTAGGTGCTCAAAGGCCAAAAAGGCCTTCTGAGAAGCCCATCTTGCTCTTACAGGGCTACCAGGCCTGATTTATATCCTGACATCCCCCAGACACCTGGATGGGCATGTGGAATGGCCTAGTGTTAGAGGTAGCCCCAAATGAGCTTTGGAGAGAGACAGCCAGGGCAAAGGCGAGGAAAGGGGGAGATGGAACACCAGAGTCCTAGTTGCCTCCCTGGCTACCGAAGCACAAGTCTGACCCTTCCTGTTAGCCTGAGGCGGGGCCAGAGAAGGAAGGGGGACAAGCATTTCTGGGCTCTGTGCCAAGCATCTCGTTTTAGAGAAGCCCCTCCCCATCCGGCCCCATCCTCCCTTTCCATCCTCACAATATGGGTTACCATCTTCTCTCTAGAGAGTGCCCAGCATCGTGCCTGGCACACGGGAGCTAGCTGCTGATTGGCTGAGAGCAGCTATGTGCCAGTTTGGGCAGAGTGAAATGTGGGTGAAGGTTCCTGTATTTTACTTTAGAAGCAGTAGGGAGCCCATCAGTGACACAGAGCCATCACTTTTGTGATTTGGGGGGACCAGATAGGAAGCTTTGGCAGGTACCAGGTGACAGTAGTGCATGGGGGACGTGTTCGGGAAAGAGAATCAATGGGTCTCGGCAGCTGCACGGGCATAGGAAGCAAAGAAGAGGCAAGAGTCCAGGTGACTCGAAGAGTGTTGGCGTACTCAACAGGGGAGTTTGTTTTGGGGAGAAAAGAGGGGTTGTCTTTTATTGGTGCCGCAGAACGTTGGGGAGAGCTCTCCAGCAGGTCATTGGTAGGAGAATTTAGAACTGCTGTTGAAATCTGAATTATACAAGTGATTGAACCCATGGGAACCAGGAGGGCATGTCGAGAGAGAAGAGAAGAGGGCCAGGCACTGACATTTTCAGTTTGAGCCCACCCTTGAGGAGCTGGAGATGGGTGGTGATTGTCCAGCGGAGGAGGCCAGCAGTGAGCCATCAGACAGCCTGGGACCCTTTCGGGTGTGATCAGAGCTTCCAGAAGTGGCATCAAAGGCCCTCCGTGCCCTTCCCAGCCAGATGCCATGGAGTCCCTTCTCCAGCATGTAGAGTCATGACCCTGCCCCGGGTGATCTCCCACCCACCCCCCTACCCCCTTTTCCTTCCTCATTCCCAGTGGAAGGAGGGGCTTTAGAAATGGTTTGTTCCAGGCCCTCGGGCCTCTTGCTGTGACTGCTCTCACTGCACCGGGGTCTCTAGGCACAATTGAGAGTTGTCTTTTAGCCTCCAGGCAGTGAGCTGTGGGGGAGGGGAAGGCCGCAGCCAGACCTTTGCCTCATAAGCTGATTTGGGGAGCTGTGTGGAAGCTTCATCTGTTCGTTCAGTGGCCACTAGTATGGTGCCTGCTGTGGGCCAGGCACAGGGGATGCAGAGACAGAAAAAGCCAGAGTCTCTGATTCTGTTGGCCAAGATCAGCAGGTACATACAAAAGTCACATGCCAGATATCTTCAGTCTTTTGTAGGGGAGGGGGTGGGATTGGGTTGAGTTTCCCGTAGGGTGCAGTACTTGAGCTGAACCCTGAAGGAGATGGAAGGCCTTCCACCAGCTGGGGGTGGGGGGACAGGAGAGAACACTGCAGTGGCCCCCCCCAAAGAGGGGCTGTAGCCAGACTGGGCAGGGCTTGAAGAGCAACTGAGCATGGGGTGATGGGGAACCCCTGGGGGAGGGTGGGTATCGAAGGAATCCAGGGAAGGAGTGAAGGCAACAGGTGGGGAGATGGTACGACAGGCTCTGGCCGACGTTGTAGAGGGAGGCAGAGAGAAAAGCTGAGGGCAAAACTAGACAGCTGGAAGGATGGGGGTGCCCTAGACAGGAGGGTGGTGAGGGAGTCAGAGATCCCTGCTGGCTATCTCTTGTGAGCCCAGGAAAGAGGCAGGGGCTGGGCAGGGCACTGATGACATGACCCACTCAAGGCAGCCAGAATTCCCTGACCACCTACTCTGTGTCAGGCACTGTGCTGTGTGCAGGGACATAGAAAGGAAAGAGAACCTAGTGGACCTTGGGGTCACTCCTAGTTAGTGGCCTGGCATGGGGGAAGGGACAGCCAGGGAAGGAGAGAATGTCCAGAAGGGAGAGGTCAAGCAGGGTGAGGCAAGCCTTGTGAGAGCAGGCAGATGCGAGGATGCAAGGCAAGGTGCGTGTGCTGAGGAGTGTGAGAAAGGGACGTAGATGTAGGACAGTAGCTGGCCAGGCCTGGCCGGATCCACAGACGCACGGGTCGGCCCTGTCCGCTTGCTGCGGGGGTGGGGGCCAGATTGTCATAGCCGTTTTCTGAAGATCTCTAGTACACATTGTCTCCAGGAGATGCCAAGTGAGCAAAGCCGGTGCCTCTTCCTCTGATCTGGCACATACCTGTCCAGGTGACGGGGCCCGACTTCCTGATGGCGTCCTGGCAAAGGAGCCTGGGTTTTCACCTGTGCTCAGCTGAGGTGGCCCAGGACAGTTGGCTTTGTTTGCCCGTTCCTGCCCTTGGGCCACAGCTGCAGGCCAGACCTTTGTCTCCCCCCTGGAGCCAGGCCTATGGCCTCTGGGGGCACGTTCTTGGGTTTACCCCAAGGTATTGTCCAGGCCAGGGTGGGGTTCTCCAGACCTTAATGCCATGTTCTGCTCCTGTCCCCCATCTGCCAGGTCTCCAGGCTCGGAATGCCCTTCTCCAGTCTAATCTTTCTCAAACCCAGCTGGCTACGATCTGGTGAGTTTGGTTATTAATGGGAGGCTCAGGGGAAGTCACACCTTCCTACATCCCACACAAAGGGTAGGCCTTGATCCTTGAAAGGGGCAGATTCTTTGAGATTTCTTTGTATCAGTAGCATTTTGTTTTTGTAAAGTATCTTAGGGGGACCACTGAGCCAACCCCGTCACTTGACATCAGAGCACCTTGAAAACTCTCTTGCTAAAATCCCAGTCTCAGAGGGATGAGGTCACAGAATCGATAGATATTTGAAGCCGTTGCCTTAGACTCCATTTTCTCTACATGTTCAGGGAGCCAGTTGCCAGGTGCCCCTGGGCTCTCTCTTGGAAACAAGGAGGGGGTTGGCCCAGAGGCCTAGCTGGGCTTGGCGGCATCGTGGCTAGTGACAATGTAGTCCACCAGACTTGACTCTCTCGGCACTCTTGGCAGTTGCCAGGATGGGCAGAGTGCTGTCCCAGGCACTGGAGAGGCTGAGACCAAAGGCCAGCGTGCTCTGCACCCCTTTAGGATTTGTATAGCTGCTGGGGCTCCGGGCTTCAGGTCTTGGGCTGTCAAACAGCAGTAAGAACAGGCTAGATGCCAGGAGTGGTTGTCCCTGGAGAGCAGCAGCATCACCGGGCAGGGTCGGCTTCTGTTTTTGGTGATGTTGTCACGTCTGTTGTGATTCCTCCGCTTTTACTTTATTTACCTGAACCCGGATTTCCTTCAGGAACCTGGCCGATGTGGACGGAGATGGTCAGCTCAAAGCGGAAGAGTTTATTCTGGCCATGCACCTGACTGACATGGCCAGAGCTGGGCAGCCATTGCCTCTGACCTTGCCTCCAGAGCTGGTGCCACCTCCTTTCAGGTAAGTGAACCAGAAACTTGGCAGTCAGCTGTTGCCAGGGCAACGCTGCAGAACTTCTTGAGTGAGGTGAGGTTCACAGTCACTCTACCCAGGAAAGGTCCCGTGGGTGCTGAGGGCTGTGGCCAGACTCTGTCGGGGCCCAGAGTCAAATGGGGAAGTCATCTTTGGATGACGCTGTCCATGAAACACCCAGGGGGCCAAGCTAACAGACCGTCCGAGGTGTTAGCAATCTGCCCCACACAGCACACACCCCCCCCTTCCAAAATGTACTTTGTCCTCACTCTTGATGTACTCATCTGTCCAGTGTATCTGTGGTGGAATATAAGCCATTTGAAAGCAGTTGCCATTTAGTGTCTGTCTATATACTCCCGAGGCCAGGTGCATGATTGGCCCTTGATAAAATGTCTGTTAAATTCAGAATTTATTTGGCCATACTTTATGACTTAGAACCATGGAACACCACCATCGAGCGAATCCAGATGGTGAGAGAGAGAGACATACAGAGATAGAGATGGATGAGAAATGGGAGACGGATTGTGGGCGCAGACTAGGGGCAGCCCCTTTCTAACCCTGAAGCAGTCTAGGCTGTGTCCGAGATGTGTGGAGGTCACTCAGCAATAGCACAGAGTGCCAGCTGTCAGGCGTCTCAGGCCCGAATGCGCTGGAGAACCCTCACAGAGGTTTGGAGGGGAGGCAGGGGCCCGTGATGGACATTGCATGAGACCAGGCCCCCATCGGTGAGGGACAGACCTACTGCGGGTTCATCCATCACAGTAGTTAGCCAGTCACATGGCACAGGAATTCACAAATTAATTTAATCTGTCTGGGTGGGTGCTCAGTCACTGTTAGGCTTATGAGACCTAATTGTTGAAGGTCAGTGGTGGTGATGGCAGTGAGCACACTGGGACAAGGCAAAGTGGCAGCTAAGAAGAACCACCCAGTCTGTGGGGGCATAGCATGACTGGGGCGAATGAGGGAGCTGACCCAGTGACAGTAGGGAGAGCTGAGGTGGGCACCACGTTTCAGGTGTGCCCCCACAGCCGACAGTGGGATGTTGAGCAGGTGACGCAGAGGAAAGGTTCCGGGGCTCCTCCCCTGTGGCCTGTGGACACCTCAGGGGCCATTCTCCTTTCTCATGGCAGTAGGTGCTGGGGCTGGGATTTTGGGGTACAGAGGACAAATGCATGTCAGCATCTCATTGAGCCAGGCTGTGACTTGCTGAGGCAGAGTATGTGTAAGGGCTGGGACTTGAACCCGGGTTTTCTTGGCTCCTTGGCTAGCTGACTGCCCCTCTGCTGGTTCTCCAGCATGTCTCCATGGAGAACAAAGGAATGCCCTCCTGGCCTTGGTGGCAGCTTTCGGCTTTAGGAGTCTGGGCTTGATTGGGGGCTCCCATTTTAACATCCTCGTCCCTTCTGAGTGGCTCTCCAAGCTAGGATCCTTCCAGGTAATAAGTGAGTGCAGCCAGCCCCCTGGCTTGGTCTGGGTTTTTCACATTTAGCAGCTTTCTGTCAGACTTAATGCCCCGGTTTCCAGGATTTGCTGTTGTGGAAAGGGCTGCGGTAGGTACTTTTGTAGGGAAGCGAGGCCTGTGCCTGGTTGTGGCGTTGCTGAGTCAGAGAGCTTTACACTTGAGTGACTTTGTGAGTAGAATTCTGGTGCGCTTCCCAGAAAGGCTGGACCCCAAGTCCCCCCACGGTGTCCCACATTCTGTCATCTTTGCCAGTGTGATGAATGTGAAACCGCATGGTGGTTTTTATGTCCGTTTACGTGGTTGATGATTGTAGCATTCCTTTATTTGGTGGCCGGTAGCACACATTTGTTTTTCTTTTGAAAACTGCCTGATTGTATCTTAGCCACTTCTCTCTTAGGGAATGATTTTTATTCTTATATGGTTTTATCAGCTTTCTCTATGTCTTGGATATCTGACCTTTCTCAGGGATGTTTACTCTGAAGACTTTTTTTACATGTTAACTTAGTTCTCTTAATTTGTGCTGCGTTGATTTTGTTCATGCTAAATGCTTTTCATTTGGGGTAACATGGTTGTTTGTCAGTCAGCAGAGGATTCAAGTAATACAGCAGCTGTCAGGTGGGGGAAACTCTGAAGCAGGATTAGAACTCAGGACTTCTCGACTCTTCCCTGCAGCCGCTAGAGGATGGGGTGGTAGTGAAAGGAATTGTAGAGGTCATGTAGGTAGAGATTGGAAAAACAGGGGCCTTGAGGGGGAGAGAGAACAGAAGTTTGAGGGTGGGTGACTTAAAGATTGCTATGTTCCTATCTGCAGAACTTGGAAAATCAGGAGGAGGGATGGAAAATTGGGAGTCCCATTTTACAGGTGTCTTGGTCAAATGCAGAGCTGGAGGAAGGTACCTGGATAGATCTGTCTGGTTAGATGCAGGGAGAAGTGAGAGAAGGGGCCAGAAGAGCAGAGAAGGAAGGAGCTGGGCATTTCACCCTTGCTTTCCGATGTCCAGGCACATCAGTGCGCAGGAGGAGAGGCTAGCCACGTTAGGGAGAGACCTAAGGAGAGAAGAGCCACAAGGTCTCGAGGCATGCCCTGTGAGCTGACCCTCTGTGATTCTTGGGACAGGGGGCAGGAGCCGAGATAGCGCTGGGGCAGACTGCTCGCCCCTGGACACCTGCTGTCTGGACTCTCGGCCCGTTCTGTCTTGACAGGCCCAAGAGATGGTTTCATTCCTCCAGGGAAGGAGGAAACAGGAAAATGTCTGTTGTGAATCTGCCTGCCACCAGAGGCACCTCCGCAGAGGGGAAACGAGGGGAGCTTGGGGGAGAGTTTGGGAGAGAGGAGAGGACTCTCCAGAGCTGGCAAGAGTGTGTCTGCACATGGATGACAAACGAGTCCCTCAGGTCAGAGCAGAGAAGAGAAGTGGAGAAGGGCGGGGCCCTTTGAGAACAGGAGAGGGAGCAGGCCAAGTGCTACTCAGTCAGCTGGAAGGAGAGGCGGGAGAAGAGCGCTGTGGGTGCACAGCTGGGGAGGGGGAGGGTTTTAAGAAATATTCTGCGTGACTGGGCATGTGGATGTGTTCTGCCCAGCAAAGATCCCCTGATTCTGCTCCCTGATTCTGAACATCTCAGTGCTGAGGTGGCCTTTCTTGTCCAGAAGCCCAGCCCGTGATGCTTTCCATAAACTTCCACTTCAGGGAGTTTTCCCAACTGCCTTTAATTTTTTCTAGAGGAGGAAAACCTGTCGATTCCCTTAATGGAACTCAGCCTTGCCACGAGAGAACCCAGGAAGAGCCACCCCAGAAAACGTTACCAGGTACCAGGGAACTGAGTCATGTTCTGTGCTGAAACAACCCCTTTGGGGGGGGTTCACAGGCTTAGTCTCTGTGCAGGACTAGGTGAGACCCTGCTGCAGGGCCCCCGTAGTCTCAGGAGAGTCTCTGAGGCGACTTGGCGGAAGGGGCCTGTGCAGGGACCCACGTTGGAGGGGGCAGTCCATCAGATTGGCTTCCCAGCCCTGGCAGCCAGGTGTCTGAAGAGAAATCCAGAAAAACACCGCAGCCTGACTCAGGCCCTTGTTTCCCTCTTGGACAGATCAGTCCTGCCAGCATCTTTCTTGTCAGAGGAGGATCCCCTGTCCCGTAGGAGGGAGAGACAAGGAGGCTCGGGAGCTGGGGGTTTCTGGGCATTCACCACAGTGTCACCTGTTTAGTGACCTTTGAGGACAAGCGGAAGGCAAACTATGAGCGAGGAAACCTGGAGCTGGAGAAGCGGCGGCAGGTGCTGCTAGAGCAGCAGCAGCGCGAGGCTGAGCGCAAGGCGCAGAAAGAGAAGGAGGAGCTCGAGCGCAAGCAGCGGCTGCTCCAGGAGCACGAATGGAGGCGGCAACTCGAGCTGGAGAAGCAGAGGGAGCTGGAGAGGCAGAGGGAAGAGGAGAGGAGGAAAGACGCAGAGAGACGCGAGGTAACAGCTCAGGGCTGCACCGGGGCTTCCACCTGCTGGGGCTGGGCCGCCTGGTGTCATGCTGGCACCTTCCCTCTGGTGGCTCGAGGTAACGGGCCCAGGGCCACACAGGGGCTTCTTCCCGGTGGGGCTTGGCTGCTGGTCATTATCTGGAGCTTTCTCTCTGGTGCCATGAGGTAACAGCCCAGGGCTGCACCGGGGCTTCCACCTGCTGGGGCTGGGCCGCCTGGTGTCACACTGGCGCCTTCCCTCTGGTGATGGGAGCTGATGCCCAGTGCCTCGCACACAGAAGGTGCGTAATACATTTTGATCGACTGGTTTGTCTAATAGTGGTAACAAAACCGTGAGTGAGAGCTCCCTTGATCCCAGCAAGTCGTGGCCCATCCGAGCTGGAGGGGCCCTCATGGGGCGTGGCCAAGGGGCTGAGGCCTAGTTACAAATGAGGAAGCTGGCTCGAGGTCACCGGCGAAGGAGGAACTGGACTCTGGTTCCTCTTAGTCTGTGTTCGCCTGTGAGCAGCACCCCCTGGTTGGACTGGCATCCCAAGTCCCTTTGCACTGTGGCCGCTTCCATCTCCTGATCATTCTCACCACATCCCTTTTCTTCTGAGGTCCTTCCACCTCCCCCAGGTCTCAGACTCTGCTCAGTGGAGGCTGGTCCAGGGCCCTTCAGGCTGCCATCCTGGGTGATGCTGACTCTTCAGCGTCCAGGACACAGGCTCACTGTGGGTGGATCTTGTCTTCATGGCTGTGACATATCTTTTCTCCTTTTGTTTGTTGGCTTAGGAGGGAAAGCCTGAGTTACGACAGGCTAAGCTAGGTAACCTTATGGCAGGATCGCTAGGCTTGTTGGGTCAGGAATGGGAGGCCATCCCCTCTGGGGCCTGTCTGAGCTCTGCTCATAGCTCTCCCCAGGGCGAGGGGGTGGGGGGAGGTGGAGGGGAGGCGCTGCTCACCTGCTGATCTCACCTGGGGCCCCTCTCATTGATGGGACGCTTTGCTGGGCCTCTTGCCTAAACTTGCCTCCCTTGCTCCTGGGTCTCAGCCCTTTTCCAGCCTAGACAGCTCTTCCCATGTTTGCTGACCCCGGCATCTCAGCCCAAGCCTTCTCTTGGATGAAGCAAACCTGTGGAGTTCTTCAAAACTGCCACTTAGCTGGCATTCCCTCAGCCCCACTGCCCCTGCCCTTTTCTCTGAGATGGGAATCCTAGAGCTGAGGATATCTGTGGTCCATGTGGTCTGGCCAAGGCCTGGTGCTCCCTGCTCCGTGACTTCAGCAGGTCTCCCGAAACAGCTTTTTTGAGCTCACCAACTACCAGGATCCCATGTTTTTCCCCATCGAATCCTTGAATAAACCAAGGCTAAGTGGGTCCGTCATATTAGCTGTCATCTGGTGTGTTAGCTCTCCCTCCACACTTTGTGCCATGTGCAAGCTTCATGAGGAGCCCTGGGGTGGCCCCAGCCAGGACATTGATAAAAATAGCGAGGAGCCCGAGGCCAAGCATAGTCCTTGGAGCCCCTAGTGGAGACCTCTGCCATTAACGACCCCTGAGATGGTCGTGGAACCTCTCACCATCTTTCCATAAGGGCAGCATGAGAAACTACACCTCCACCGTTGTCTTGTCACCAGAGGAAAATGTGTTTGCTCTAGCTTGTCCTGTTGTCAGTGAAGTCCTGCTGGCTCCTGGGGACCGAACAGGACAGAGCACAGTCAGAGGATCTGGGGCCTTTCCTGCCCGTCCCAGGGGTCAGCTCGGGCTCCTCTGAGACACAGAGAGAAACAGACAGTGTGCTAGAAGTGAGCTTCTCTCTGCCTCTGCCCTCACTCTTGTGCCCAAGCCCTTTGTGACTTGGAGATGAGGGACAGACAAGAGGCCGCCTGCACATGGCAGAGAGGAAGACCAGAGAGCAGGGTGGCTCACTCCCTTTCCCCCAGCCTGTCATCCATGTCGTTCACTGTGACTGATCCCCTTCTCCTCTTGCTTCAGGTTGTTTCTTGTTCCCTTATCAGGACTTGGTTCTTGAGAAGGGCCTTTCCCTCCTGGGGGAAGTTTCTGATCCCTGGAGTTCTGCCTGTCCCTTCTTAGAACCTTGGGTCTCCCTCAGTCACATGTTCTAAAAGAGAGCGCTCGCTTCCCCCTCTTGGGCGCTAGCGTTTTCCTCTGCCTTTTGAGGCATGAGATTTTCATCAGGGTAAGTTGAGAAGTCCCTTAGCCACTCTGCTCTGGGCAGAGAGAGGTTTCCAACAGAAGTCTGGCAGCCCTCTGGGCTAGGCCGAGGCTCTGCTTCTTGAGCTCATCTCTTGTGGCCTGTAGTGAGGGCCAGTGATCTCACTTACATCTCTGCCCCCGCGTGCCCTCTCCTGTGCTTCCTAAATCATCCCTCTCATCTACCCACCTTGTACTTGCCCACTGCCTTTGGACCGAGAGGTACTCGTCACCCTCCAAGTCTCAGGGACACCACGAGATCCAGTTATCGCCTTCGTTAGGTTCTCGCAGACTTTGCCCCTTCCTTGGCTGTAGACATCAGAGGCATTTAGAGTTGAGTCTTCTCACAACTAGGTCTCTAACCTAGTGGAGAGCCAGGTGGTTTTTTCTTTTCCACTTTGTTTTTTGGTCTTAGCCAAACACTTTTTCCAGGGTCCGTAGCATTTGCTAAGAGTCCGTGCGTCCTTTCCTCTGTCTCTCTGTACATATACATGTTTACATGTGTGTATGTATGAGTGTGTATGTATACATACACACACCAGACACCATGCTATGTGCTGGAAATAAATATGCCAAGAATGAATCAATCCCTTCTTGTGCAAGGAGCAAGCCTTCTTAGGAGGGAGACAGTGGGTACATAGAAAAACAGACCCAGGTGTGTGTACAGAGTGTCACAGTCCAAGGTGGCCTGGTAGGGGGCACTAACAGGAAAAGTTTCATGTTGAGCATGGTGCTTGAGCTGTGTTGGAGGCCAAGGAAGGCAGGCACAAGGCACAGTCAGTGCAAAGGTCCACAGAGGGGAGGAACGGCCAAGAGAGTGTAGCTGCATCGCTGAGCCTGGGATGGGGATTGGGGCCAGACTCCCATGGTCAGATGTGAGCTTAGGGGAAATCCACCCCTCGGGAGGCTGAGGTCATCTGGGCTGGAGGGGAGAGGGACCTGAGGCAGAGAGGCCACTTAGAAAAGGCTGCTGCCGGAAGCTTAGAGAAGGGTGCACTTTGGGGGAGGTTGGGATCCTGCAACAGGCGATGTAAAGGTTTTGTGAATTGGCCTTCATTAGCAGCCCTCCATCCAGACTTGGCTTTCTCATCTGTATTGAAAGATATGGTCCAGAAATCATCATCCCTTCCTCTGAGCCCAGTGTTCGCTTTCCTGTTTTGTGTCCAGAAACCCAAGATGAAACCCTGCTGCCCCAACCTTCAGATCTTCCCTCCTGTTCCCAGCCAGGCCTGTGTAAGGGCCCAGGCAACTGGCCAGCCTTGAGTGAGTGACTCTCAGCCACAGCCTGGACACCTGCCCAGGGGAGAGAGGCCACAGGTCTGCCTTTGTCTGCTGCTTGTTTGTAAAGCCCCTGCTCAGGGAAGGCTCTTCCATCTGCTCAGTCGGCAGAGTATGTGTGGGCCAGCTGAAGTCTCCATGTCTTCCTTCTGCAGATGAGAATTCAATTCTGCTTTACAGTGAATTGTGTGTGCCTTACCCTACTGCAGTCAGGAAGAGTCGCTAATTGGGGATGATGTGATTGGTGCAGAGGATGGTCCACATGGGTTCTCCTTGTCCTAGTCCCTGTCAGAGCGGGGTGTTCTGCCTGCGAGTCCAGGGGCTTGCCCAGGTTCCCTTGACCAGGCTGTGACCAAGGCAGAAGAACCCGAGCAACCCTGTGTCTGGTGGCTTGGAGGCCAGATCTCAGTCCACTCTCTCTATCCATTGTCTGTCAGTAACAATTGATAATGCTAAGAAAATACTCATCTGGCATATTCCTGAGACCCCAAGTCTACTTCCTTTTGGAGCTTAGACCTTTTTGGAGTTTAGAATTAGTTGCAGTGGTTTCATTGAGCTGTTTTTGCCCTTGCATGGTGACTTATGTATGGGCTGTCACGTGGTAACCAAGAAGGAACCTCTTGATGAAGGTAAACTATGGGTGAGGTACAAGTGTAGCACTTGGTGCCCAGGGAGGAGGGCCAGGGCCAGGCCACCTTCTCCTAAGTCTGTCTGTATGCATTTGGATCTGGAATAAGTTATTAAGCCCCCTCCTAACCAAGGCTTGCAGTCTCAGCCTTATGTCAAGTCAGCAAGCAGTGATTCACCTCTGTAGCACCTCTGGTTGATTTTGCCTCTGCAGCACCTCTAGTCGATTTCACCTCTGCAGCACCTCTAGTCAATTTCGCCTCTGCAGCACCTCTGGTTGATTTCACCTCTGCAGCATCTCCAATATACCCTCTTCTGTCTTCTGACCCTGCCCCCACCTTGGTACAGGCCCTCATCCCCTCACAGCTGCACTACTGCAATAACTCAATGCCGGGGCGGGGGTGGAGGGAGTCTGCCTGCCTCATGTCTCTCCTTCAGTCCATCCTTCAGCCATCAGAGTGTCACCCCCTACTCAAAAAACTCAGGAGCAAATATAAAATGCTCTGTCTGGTATTCAAAGCCCATCATTACCTGCCCCCTCCTCATTTTCCATTCTTCTTACACCTCACTCCCCAACACGTACTCTTCAGTCCAGTGACACTAGCCTCCTGGCTATTCCTCACGCTGGCATAAATTCAGTGAGGCATTCCTTCTGAAGGCGGGCTCTGGGGAAGCATTTCTCTTGTGTGAACAGGCCATGATTTGAATTGTCTAAGAGGCCGTTGGTGCCAGGATGCCAGAACTCTGGAAGGGACCCTGGCAAGCCTTTAGTTCCATGCCTCTGTTGCTTGAGAAGACTGAGGAAGCCACTTGTCATAGGGTCTTGGATTCTGAGCTGCAAGAGACCCGGGAGGAGGTGCAGAGGCTGAGGCGCACAGAGGGGAAGTCACACAAGCAGCAAATGTCAGGGTTGGCATTTGAACTCAACTCTTTTTTAAAAAAAAAAAATTTATTTTTTTATTAATTTATTTTGAGTTATCAACAATCACTTCCATAAGCTTTTGAGTTTTAAATTTTTCTCCCCCTCCCTCCCTAAGACGGTGCTCAATCTGATATAGGCTCTACATATACATTCCTATTGAACATATTTTCACATTAGTGATGTTGTAAGGAAGAATTAGAACCAATAGGAGAAGTCACAAGAGAGAGGGAACAAAACAAAACAGAAGGAAAAAGGAAGAGCAAATAGTCTGCTTCGATCTGCATTCAGACTCCATAATTCTTTCTCTGGATGTGGAGAGCATTTGCCATCGTGAGGCCTTTGGAGATGTCTTAGATCCTTGCATTGCTGAGAAGGGCTAAGTCTATCAGAACTCACCTCTTGATAGGTGCAATAATAATAGTCCCTACCTTACAGGGTTGTTGTGGGGCTCCAGTGAGATTATATTTATAAAGTGCCAGGGCCTGGCACACAGTAGGTGCTTAATCAATGCTTGTTTCCTTACTTCTGGATCTTATGTCCAGGGTGCCACTTTACCTTGCTCTTTTCATCTATTTTATGCTGCCTTTGTGCCTTTGAGCAGTTTTCTTCATCTCATTGGATGTGTCACATTCCTCACCTGGATCCAACCTTTTGGGAGGGCCATTCCAGCTCCAAATCCTATGATGCTGATAATACACATTTTTACAGCCAAGGAAGCTGGAGAGTTGGGGAGCCACCAGTCTCAGTGGGGTCTCCTCATGCCATTCCAGGGCTGTTTTGGGTTCTGTGGGCCCTTCTTCCTTGCTTTCATTTCCTTGGTGCTGTGTGGTCAGCCCTGGCATCTCTGGGGCAGAGGGCATATGGACATTCTGGACCCTTCTAATTCCAGATTGGTTTCCAGAGTGGTTGGCCCCGTTTTCAGCTCTACACGCATAGTATATCAGGAGCCTGTTTTTCTTCAGCCCTTCCAGCACTGGCTCTATCCATTTGTGTGATCTTGGCGGAATTGTTGGGTGTGAAGCTGTAGCTCTGAGTTACTCTGATCTGCATTTTTTGATTAGCAATTTGGAGCAGTCTTTCATTGGGTGTGAAAACTCTTTGTTCACCAGCTTGTCCTCTGGGCCTGGATATTTGACTTATTTTCCTATATATCATGGATAGCAGACGCTCATTTGACTTTGGATACAAAGATTTTTTCCCCCCAATCCCACATTTTCTCTTTTTGTCCTGTCTACATCGATTTCATTCATGCAAAGTGATTCCAATTTCAAGTAACCAAAGTTATTTCTTCTCTCCTTTGATTAAGAACTCAGCCTGTTGCTGCAGATTGTTTATGGTGTGACCTCAGGTTGCCTGTTCCTGCAGGGCTTCCCATGGTCTGTGGTGGGCTCTGAGGTATCATCTGAGGGTCACTTTTGTCTTCTCAGTCATTTGTTCCTTTCTTGTAGGCTGCGAAACAAGAGCTGGAGCGTCAGCGCCGATTGGAATGGGAGAGAATTCGCAGACAGGAGCTTCTCAGTCAGCGGAATAGGGAACAGGAAGAAATTGTCCGGCTGCAAGCGAGGAAGAAGGGTCTGCACCTTGAGCTGGAAGCGCTGGTGAGAGCTTATTACCAGGGTGGGCTGGGCCTTCGCCCTCAAAGAGACCTCCAAGGCCTGCAGCTGGTGCTTCAGGTGACAAGATCTCCTTGCGCCTGGGGGAGTGTGAGCAGGTCCCTTGGTGGGAGGCCCCCAAGTGCAGCATGACAGAGATTCAGGGTCAGGAATTTTGTGGCATCTGAGCTTCTCCTTTACTTTTCACTGATGCCTTTTTTGTTACATGCCAGGATAGGGTGAAGGAACTGAGTGAGAGGACATTTAACATGGCAAGAGAGCTGTCTTCCACTATCGGAGGAGAGCCTTGCTCTGTTTAGTGTGGCCCCGGGGGCAGGCTCAGGGGTAGTGGGGGAAAGTGGCAAAGGGTCAGGCCATGTTTGCGGTGCAGTCTGGGGAGCTCCAAAACAAGCCTTCTTCCAGCCTTCACATGGCGACATTCCAGCTCCCAGCTCCAGGCATTTTCGTGGGCTGACCCTCAAGCCAGAACATTCCCCTTCCTCAGTCAAGAAATATTTATTAAGCACCTACCATGTGCCAGGCCCTGGGTGAAGGACTGGGAATGCAAAAGCTGAAGGCACTCCCTGCCCTCAAGGAGCTTACAGTCTAATGGGGGGACAGCAGGTCAATAAATACATTATAACTCAGGCTTTCTATGGGAAGGTGCTGGATTTAAGAGGGCTGGAGGAAGCCTTCCTGTAGGAGGTAGGAGATTAGATCAAAAGGAAGTCAGAGAGGTCAGTGGGCAGAGCCAGGGAGAATGCCCAGACCCCGGAGATGGAGGCTCTTTTTTGAGGAGCAGCCAGGTGGGGGGCTACATCATGGGGAGAGGGGGTGTAAGAAGACTGGGAAGGCAGGAGGGGGCGGGTGATGAAGGGCTCTGAGAGTACAAGAGAGCTTTGTGTATTTGCTCCTGGAGGCCATAGGGAGCCCCTGGAGTTTACGGAGTAGATGGGGGTGGAGTGTGTGTGGCATGATTGGCCGGGGGGAGACTCAAGCAGTCGTCTGGGCATGAGGTGATAAGGGAGTAGAGCAGGGTGGCGGTACCAGAGGGAAAAGGGAGCATATTGAGGAGATGCTGCGCTGGTGAAACAAACGGGCCTTGGCGCCGTATTGGATATGAGCGAGGAGAGTGTGAACAGTCATGGATCTCTAGCTTAGGAGCCTCAGGGACTGGGAGTCACCTTGTGCAGTCACAGGGAAGGTCGCAAGGGCTGGGTTGGAGGAAAGAGCGTGAGCTCTGCGTTGGACACGTTAAGCGTGTGCGGTTGGAAACATGTGAAAGGCAGTTGGAGGTGAGAGATTGGAAGTCAGCAGAGAGCCGGGGGCAGGACAGGTAGATCTGAGAATCATCAGCACAGAGATGGCCATTAAAGGCGTAGAAATTGATGAGATCACCAAGGGAAGTGGTCTAGAGGGAGAAGAGAAGGGGCCAGGACAGGACCCAGGACAGGAGCTGAAGGACGCCCGCAGCTAGAGAGCACATACAGGAGAGAGCACAGAGGCACAGAGAGCACAGAGGAGGAGCGGCCGTAGAGGGAGGAGGAGAACCAGGAGAGAGGGTGTGTGTCCTGAAAACCTGGAGAGAAGACAGTGGCTAGCAGGGTCTGTGGCTGCAGAGACAGAGGCCAGGGAACAGGAGGACTGAGAAGAGGCCGCTGGGTCTGTCTGGTCACTTTGGAGAGAGCAGTCTTGGTGGAAGGATGAGGTGGGAGGTTGGATGGTGAGGGGTTAATGAGAAAGTGAGGAAAAAGAGAGCAGAATCTCCTGGTGTGGAAGGCCTTTTGGTGAGTTTAGCTACAGAGAGCAGAAGAGAAAGAAGATGATAGCGGGAGTAGAAGAGAAAAGGGAGGGTTTTTCAGGATGGAGGAGACCTGGGCAGGAGAGGAGAGACTAAAGATAAGTGAGAGAGCGGAATGGCAGAGGAGGTGACCTGCTGGAGGAGGCGCGATGGCGGGGGGGGTGGCCTGCTGGAGGAGGTGGGATGGTGGGGGGGTGCGACCTGCTGGAGGAGGCGGGATGGCGGGGGGGGTGTTACTTGCTGGAGGAGGCCAGATGGCAGGGGTCTCTTGTGTGGGCAGAGGGGTCAGCCTTAGTCAGAAGAGAGGCCGCTTTGTCCTGGGTGACAGAGATGAGGAAGAGGTTCCCATGGCTTCTTTGAGGTCCCACCTGATCCTCACCTCTAGCTGACAGTCTCTGTGTGTTTGTACCCGGTGTTGGCGCGATGTCTCCCCCTTTAGACCAAGAGCTCCTCAAGGGCAAGGACTGTCTTTGACCTTTCTTCATAGCCCCAGCACTTAGTGCAACAGTTGGTGCTTAATAAGTGCCTGTCATCTGCCTGCCTGACATCAGTCAGGTCTGTCACTGGAGTTTCCCCCTTTAGCTGCACAATGCTCTTTTCTTCTGGGGAAGGTTCCTAGGACGATTTTCCTGCCCTAACCATTGGCTCTCTTGGCCTTTGGACAGAATGGCAAACATCAGCAACTCTCAGGGAGGCTCGAGGACGTGCGGCAGAGAAAACAGAGTCGGAAGAGTGAGCTGGAAGTCCTGGACAAGCAGTGTGACCTGGGGGTCCTGGAGATCACGCAGCTTCAGCAGCAGCTCCAGGTGACTTGGCGGTGTGGAGGGAGGGCCCCCCGAGCCAGGCCAGCAGCACCACTCTCTCTGGCTTCATTCCTGCCTCTGCTTGAGCTAAGTGGCCCCCAGTTTGGAAATACGGTTGTTTGCTTTTTTCACAAGGAATCTCAGAACCAGCTCGTCTGTTTGGTGCCAGAGAAGCAGCGGTTACAGGACAGGGTTCAGCATCTGCAGCCGGACAGCTCAGCCCGTGAGTTTCCTGCCTGGCCTTCCCCAAGGCCCTGATGCCACCCCCTTGGCCCTGTGCTGGCCTCTCCAGCCATGCCCCTGGAGGCAGCTCTTCCAGGCTGTGTCTGAGCCCTCAGCCCCAGGCCTTGCTCACTCAGCCTCTCTGCTTTTCCTTCCAGCCCTCCCCACACCCTCCCAATGAAAAAAGTAAAGCCAAGCCCTCATAAAATGCAGGTGAACCGGCACAGTGATGCCCTTGTGGACTGTGCCCATGACTGTAGCTGTCCACCCAGCCAAGGGGGTGCTTGGGGCGAGGACTCTTCATAGCTGGGGGTCTGTGCAGTCCCTAGTCCAGGTTCCGATGGATGAGCAACAGGGGCATTTTGTGCACACACATGTCCTCAGGCTCTTTCTTGACTTTCTTAGGGGCATGGGCCCGAGAGCAGGAGGACCATTGGGAGGCTTGAGACCAAGGTATTGAGTGCCCGTGGAATTTATGGTCTTTCCAAGTCTGCTGGGCGCCTCTGAATTACTTTCATTTGTATTTCCCCAATTATCAGTGAATGAATTGTAGCCGAACGTCCAGTTTGTGTCCTCTGGTCATTTGTCAGTTGGCCGATGGCTTTTAGGCTCATAAATGTGAATAGAATATCATTGATCTGATCATTGTCAGAGAGGGCAGGGCACATTTTTCCTAGCTCACTTTCCCTTCTGGCTTGAGCTGTATTGGTTTTGTTTAGGCAAATCCTAAATTGTACAGGGTGGAAATTGTCCATTCTCTCTTCTATTTTGGAAGGCCACTGGGATTTGGTCCTATGCTGCCTATATCCATGTCTGGCATCTAGGAGGAGCAGGAGGCCTCTGAGTATTCTGGATGTTGTGCTCCTTCTGCCTAGGCCCACGTGTCATTCCTCTGGGAAGGGCCCCTCTTCCTGTCCCTCCCTCCTCTCTCTCTCCTCCTCCCCCTTCCCCTCCCCCTCCCTTCTCTCTCTTTTGCCCCCTCCCCCTCCCTCCTGTCTCTCCTCCCCCAACCATTGGCTCCTTTCTGTGATGCTCTCAAGGAGGGAGGGAGGAGGACAGGAAGAAAGGCCCAAGTTCTAGTCCCACTTTAAATGCTCACTAGCTGTGTGGTCCTGGATGAATCAGTAAACTTCTCTGGGCCTCAGTTTTCTCCCCTTTTTGGAAAAAGGGGTGAGACTAGCTCCAGCCTCATAGGATTGACGAGATGATATGTGGAAAGTGCTTTGCTGACCTTAGGGCACTGCAGAACTTCCAGTTAACATTACTGTTGACTTCCATGGCCATGCATGCAGGCTACTCAGAACTCCAGAGCTGGCCCCAGCAAGCTGGGCTTGCAGGAGCTCTGCATGACCCCGGGTTTGTCCTGTCTTGTGGCCTCTCTTTGACCTCTTTTTGTCTCCCTATCACTTTGCACAGTGTGTGGCACATAGTAGGTGCTTAATAAACGTTTTGGGGTTTTTGTGTTTTGGAGGCACTCGGTGTTGAGCGACTCACCCAGAGTCACACAGAGAGCGAGTGTCTGGGGTTGGTCTTCCTGACTCCCCAGGCCAGTGCTTTATCCCCTGCACCACCTAGCTGCCCCTTGACCAGCGTCAGAGAAGGTCCCTCTTGGGCCCTGCCTGCGTTTCCTTCCTGCGCCTCAGATGGCAGCAGAGCCAGGTCCCGCCTGCCGGCTGCCATCCAGGGCCCACACCCTCTGTATGCCAGGCACTGTGCTAGGCCCATACAAATAAGCTGCTGCTATCACACCTCATTTTTGTATGAGGGAACTGAGGCAGGCAGAGGTCTGATGACTCACTCAGGGCCCCCAGCTAGGAAGCATCCGAGGCCAGATTTGCACTGAGGCCCAGCACTTTTAATGGGGATGACCCCGGCGGCTCCCCGCTCTCCCTCGTCAGGGCCCCACTTGAGCGCCACAGGCTCGTGGGGCCCCCACCGCTAGTGATTCCACACAGGTACGTGTGCATTTCAGATCTGGGAATTGACGCTGTTCACAAGAAGTCCCTGGAGAAGGAGAGTCTCTGCCAAAGGCTGAAGGAGCAGCTGGACACTCTGGAGAGAGAGACGGCTGCCAAGCTGTCTGAGATGGACACCTTCAACAATGAGCTGAAGGTAAGCCCCTCAAGGGGCTCCAGGCCCTCAGGGCTGGCTCTGCATGCTCAGGTCGGGCTCATCGTCTTCACCCCCTTGGTGCTGGCGGTCTCAGGTTCGGTTTACAGAGGCCTTTGGAGCAGGACCTCGGCCCCCCAGCTCAGCTGAGGCTGGCCAGGGTGAAGGGAAAAAAGCACTGGGGCAGCTGTGACAAGCCCCGCCTTTGTGCCGGGTGGATTTCAGTGATCGCGGCCCTGGAGCCCCGTGTGACTGAGTAGTGGTGGCCTGTGGCCCTGGCCTTCTCTGCATGAGCCGAGCCTGGAGCACAGGGCCCGTGCAGTCAGAGGCTGGCTGCCATGTTCGTGCTCCCCAAAGTAGGGGGTAGCCCTGGCTCCATCGTGTGGCGGAGGAGCCCGGAGCCCACTTGTCTGATAGCTGCCCGCCGGCAAGTGGCTGGAGGAGCGTGGGAGGATCGGGCCCAACGTGCCGCGCTGGGCCGTGCCGGGTTAATTGCACTTTTTGTCTGCCTTATCTTTCAGTGTGTGACTGTGGATGACTCTATGCTGCGGTGCCTTTTCTCCCTGCTCAGCTGTCTCCACCACCTCTTCCTCTTACTTAAGGTTACTCTCCCACCTCGGGCTCGCTTTCCGGGAGTGACGTCTCGGCTCTCTCTGCCTTCCCCTGCCGCACAAGCCATGGGGACCTTTTTTCTTTCTGCTCGCTTTCCTAGCCTTCTGCTCTCTGACCGGCCGTGCCCCGAAGCTAGACACATGGCCCTCTGGCTCCCTTTCTCTTCAGGAGGCCAAACCCTCCACTGCTCCCGGCTCCCCGCCTCGTGGGGGGTTGAGAAGGGAATGGGCTGAGCCCACGCTCATGGGAGCTGGTGTCGGGGGCGAGTCAGTGTTTGAGCGGAAAGCGGGGTCTGGGAACCAGGTCTCCAGGGGCAGAGTGTTTGGTTTGTCAGGTAAGACAAAGACATGGGGTTCGGGGCTGCCCTGTCCTGGCAGGAGGCTTCGGCTCCTTTCCCCTTCCTGTTGACAGCCTCTCTCCTGCCTCTGCCCCTGGCCCTGCACCCCAGCTCTCTGCCAGGCCTGAATGTCCTCTTCCCTCCCCCCTCTTCTCTGTTCCAGGGCCCTTCTGCTAGTCAGCCTCTCCCTAAACTGTGGTTTTTAGTTAATGAGTGCCAAGTGAGAGGCGGTCCCTGCCTCCGAGGGACTTCTGTTCTGATGAGGAGCGTTTGGATTGAGGCTTCCCAGGGGCCGAGGCAGACGGTGGCCAGGGGAGAGAAGTGCGGTTGACTGCTGGGCAGGCCCATGGCGGGCGAGTGTGTCCTCCTTCCTCCCTAGTCCTGTACACTTAGCAGGTCACACGTGTGCCGGTCAAACAGAAACCCCTCGAGGGGAAGAGCCATTGGCTTACCTGTCAGTAAAAGGTGGGGCAGAGGTCAGCATCTCTCAAGCCCTTGCCAGCCCTGGGCTACCCAGGCCTCCTTGTAGTTCTGTCCTTCTGTCTGCTGCCTCTTAGGGGATGGGGGGAGGAAGCACCTTCTGTGGGCCAGGGCTAGTCAACCACCCGAGGTCACTGAGCCCAGTGCCCGGTGAAAGCGCTGGCTTCTCCATGTCCTGGCTCCTCTGCCACATTTGACATGCTGGTGTCCCTTTCCATTGCTCTGCTCCTCTTTCCTCCTCTCCCCATCCTGTGGCCTCCTGGTGCATCTCTCAGCTCCACTCTCTCGTCTGACCCTCCCTCCTTCAGAGCTCTGCTCACTTCCTGGTCATGTTGCTCCCCCTGCTGATAAGTAAAACAGGTCTGTCATTGGTTTTGTGGCTGGGGATGTGCTGACAGTTAAAACTGTACCTGCCTTGGAAGAGCTTATGTTGTGTAGGGGGAACCACACGTCTGCTAAAATCAGTCCAAAGAGAGAGAGTTGCCTAAGGGGGTCTGTTTGGAGGTGCCCTGAACTGCATTGTGAAGGAGCTTGTTGGGGGGTGTGACAAAGGATGCCTTCCAACTTGCATAGAGGCAGAGGCTCAGGGCTGTGTGTAGGTTGGGAGCTGGGCTGGTCAGCAGGAGCCCTCCCGGGACTCGGACCCGTCTCCACCACAGCTGTGTGGATGGCAGATGGGAGGGGGAGTGCTCGCATGCAGGAAGACCAGCCAGGAGGCTCTTGCGAGCAGTCCCGAGGGCAAGGGGGCAGCTGTGGGAGCGGGCATGAGGGGACCCCTGCGGCGGATGCTGGCTCAACGATATGAGCATTTCTGGGTCTGTGCCCCCCACGTAGCCCGCCCCAGCAACTGAAAATCCGTGGAGCATAAACAGCTGCCCCAGCGCCTGCCCAGAGGAGGGAGCGGGAGTCCTGGTGGATCAGCTTAGTTCCCCAACATGGGCTTCTCTGTGCTTTGTGTTTCCTTGTTTCTTCTGAATTTATAGTAATGTATCATTTCCTGATCAGTGGGAGCCCACTGTGTCTCCACCAAAATGCTGCCCGCGTCTGTGCATGTGTATGTGTGCACGTGTGTGTGTGTGTGTGTGTGTGTGTGTGTGCACGTGTGTTGTGTGTGTGCGCGCGCACGCGCGCACGCATGCATGTGGTTCATCCAAGGGGCCCGTGCTGCAGTCCCTGAGCCCTTGGTGTCTGTGTCCTATCACAAACCTCTGGTCTGGCATCAATCCAAATCATGGAAGACGCCTTCTTCCAGGCGCGAGGCTTCTGTGCTCCATCCAGGAATGCAGGGTCCTGCTGATGCTTGCCAGCTTTCGCCAGATGAGGGCCCAACTGCCAGGGTCAGCGAGGAGAGTGGAGAAGGCCTCTCCCAGACTTGGTCTAACCTGCCCCACAATGGTCCAACTTGGTTTCATTTCTGAGGGGTCTTGGGCCCCTCCAGCAGGCCAGGCTGCAGACTGGCTAGCCTGAAAGGGGCGGGGATCACAGAGGACCACAGAGCAGCCATCAGCCATGGCACGTAGCACCTTCCAGGCATTCTCCAGGATGTTCCCGAAGCCTGGGGGAAGATCAAAGATTCCCCTCTCCCATGGGGCTGTATTGGCATTCTCGCAGCAAGGGAACCAGACAGGGGAAGGCCCGCCAGACAGGGAGCCCCCAAGCAAAGTTGGGCAGCTCTCAGCGGGTCGGCCTACTGACCCTGAGGATAGAAGGGGAGGGAAGGAAGCTAGATGGGGCATCAGGCCAGTGGGAGTCAGATGTCTCCAGTGGTCAGTAAGAGGCTTCTGAAGCTTATCCCAGGGATGGGTACTTGATCATACTAAGCTCCTGCAGGAACTTCAAGACCAGGGTGACTCCAGACAGTTGTATTTAATAGGAAGGCATGGAGATATAGACCAGGTGGGAAACTTAGAGGTGCAGAAAATCCCTGCCAAGCTCCTCCAGGGGAGGGCAGGGACCAGGCACTTAGGTTACTGATTGATGGCCTGGTCCACAGGGAGGAGCGGAGGATTTGAGTGACAGGCCTGGCTGTCCCGGCTGAGGTTATCAGGGTCACATCTGAGTACTAGTTTTTGAAAGGAACTCTCTGGTGGACTTATTGTTACATCTTGAATGTGCTGTCCAAGGGCAGCATCAGTGGGATCAGGGCCTTGATGGAATTCTCTGCAGTTTTCCAGGATGCACGTCTAATACCAACTATTTAAGCTGTTTGGAATCGATGAATCCCCATGTCTGGAAAGACACGTGTGTGCCTGAAGCTGGCGGAGGCTCTTCCTGGGCAGTCTGCTGGAACCTTCTGTCTGTGCACAAGTGGGGGTCCAAGTTTGCCAGTTCTTTGTGCCTCTTTCACCTGTTAGCTGCCGGGCTCCTTTGTTCTGGAACACATCCAGACTCACTGTGTTCTCTCTCGCTTGGAAAAGCATGAGAAAAGGCAGTCCTCCTTTGTCCGTTCCTCTCCTTTTTCCCGAACAAGAGGAACACATTTATCCCTAGTCCAAGCATAAGCCAAGTCAGACTGTGTTAGCGGTCCTGGGCACACTGTGTTGGGAGTACACTCCTGGGGTTCATAGATGGTTTCAAAATAGACTCAAATGCAGAAAAGAAGATGTGATCATTGTGCAAAACATGTGCTGCAGAGGTTCTGTCCCCCGAGGCCTTGGGTTCAGAATATGCTGTGATTGTCAGGAGCTTCTGACCAGGGTCCCTCTTGTGTGGCTGTCACTGACCTCTGACCCCGGATTCTGTCTCTGTCGTCATTCCCCTCTGGGACAGTTTGCTGGTTGTCTCTTCCGGCTGTTTCTGCGCACTGATCTCTGTCTACTCGGGCAGACACTACTGATTTTTGTTTGGCGTTCTTCCTTAATGACGCTGGAGGTTTCCTCAGAGATTGGATGTAGCATGTGTCTGAATCGACACCAGTCAGCATAAAAATCAACTGAAACAATACCTGTGTTGTTCAGAATTTCATCTAAATTTCTACTCACCTGATAATGGAGTAAAAGTCTAAGATACCAAAAGCAGCAGGGAGCGTCAGAGGTGCGGGGAGGGCGGGAAGATGGCAGCTTTCATTGTAGCGACGGGGTCTCAGGTGGGAGAGAGGCAGACGTGGTGGCTGCAGCAGCTGTGGTGCCTTGTCCACTTGACCCAGGGCTCCAACAACTAACCCCAGCCTCCTTTCCTAACTAACTCTTTCTTGGGTTGAGGGAGAAGAGGTCGGAGAGTGAAGTTGGGTTAGGGGATCACAGCCTGAGAAAGTACTGAGGGGTTGGAGCTGAAATAGGTCTGGGTGGGGCAGGGCTTAAGGACAGCGGGAATGTGGGCAATGGAATGAGGATGGGCAGTGGGGTCATGCGGAGACCTGGCATGGGGCTGAGGAATCAGGACCAGCAGGGCTGGGCTGGAGAGGATGGAGAGGAGGGGGTGTGGCAGGGCCTGGGGGTGCATCCTGGAAGGCGAGCTGAGTTTGTCCTCAGAGGACTGATCTGAGATTCACTAGAGGTGTTGTGGTTGCTTACTAGTTTTGAGTCACATCCGGCTCTTCATGACCCATTTGGGCTTTTCTTGGCAAAGGCATTGTAGTGGTTTGCCATTCCCTTCTCCAGCTCATTTTACAGGTGAGGAAACTGAGTCAAACAGGGCACAGTGACTTGCCCAGGGTCACACAGCTAGTGAGTGTCTGAGGCCGGATTTGAACTCGGAAAGATGAGTCTTCGTGACTCTAGGCCCAGCGCTGCATGCACTGTGGCGCCCCCTAGCTGCCCTATTAGAGACAGGTTGCTCTTTGGTGTCTTTAGTGTAGGGGCTCCCCCACACTGGGATCTCCAGGCAGAGGTTGGTCCATACAATGTGGAGATGACTCTTGTCAGGAGCCGCTTAGATAAGACTTTCTGAGGGCAGATGGGTGATAAGAGAGACCGCATAGTCAGAGCAGGACTGAGAAAACACCATTGGGTGACTTTGCAGTTGTCCCAGATCAGCATTATGGCTGGAGAAAGCATCTTCAGTGGCGTGAGCAGGGAGGGAGGGAATGTGGACCAGTGGGTGCTTCAGAAGCTGGAGAATGTCCAGGAGAAATTTTAGAACCTGGCCACGTTTAGTCTTGAGGAGGGAGAGTGTATGTGTCTGTCTGTGTTGAGAGTGATGACCAAGGTCTGCTGTGGAGGAGCTGAGACCACCCATCCTGCTCGCTGTCACTCTTTGTCAGGGGTGCTTTAGCAGTCAGCCGTGGGTGAAAGGGGATGTCTTCCAAAGGCCCTTCTAGGGCTGACATTCCAAGGCTCCAGGAAGCTCCTTCTGCACTTAATTCAGGCCTTTAGTGAATTGGTGATCAGATACGCACAGTGTGAAAATCCAGGTCGCTCGCTGACAACCTACTTCCCACCCAAAGACACGACCAGAAGGCAGTTGGTCTCCAGCTTTTAAAAACGGGCTCTGAAAGAATTCTTGGGGACCCAGATTCTCCCCTTTCCTAGCTTGCACAGGGGGCTAAAATGATGGCAGTCCCACCCTTATTCCCACCCGTAGGAAGAGCCTCTGTCTGCAGGTGCCGCCCGGCTGTGGGATGGGATGGGAACCACTGTGGTGGAGGTCCGGGTTCACACTATTCCAGTCTCTTGACTTTTCCTTCTTGTTCCTCAGGAGCTGAGAGAAAACTACAACACGCAGCAGCTGGCCCTTGAGCAGCTCAATCTGATCAAACGGGAGAAGTTGAGAGAGATCGAAAGGAAGAGGGCCGAGGCGGCCCAGAAGAAGAAACTGGAGGAGGAGGCGGCTACTAGGTGAGGTGGGCCATGGGCCTTCTGTCCCTGGCCGGGCACTAGAGGCCTCTGTCTGGGCTCATGGCTCCTGTACTCCCCCTGGACCAGCACTGGGGGCCCTGGGCTCCTCTCCCGCAGGAAAGGCTGGAATGTGCAGTTGGCCAGGTCCTCTCACACCTCCCTCCCAAGACTGAGAATTGAATGGGCCCCAAAGCCAAGAAGCGTTCACTCCTCGTGGGCGGTGCTGCCCTGCTTCAACCCCTCTTTCTGTTTGGACATTGAGAAGGCCAGTCAGTGGGCCTTGAGCTGCATACCGTACACAGCACGGTCATGGAAGCTCTTAAGGGCAAGCCTACTTGTGTCTGGTGGGATCCTCAAGACCCAGCCTAGTACCTGGCCCAGCGCAGGCCCTGGGAAGGGTCTCCTGGTCTGTGGCCTAACTCGGGGGCAGGCCAAGGGCCCAGGCCAGATTGGTAGGGCCGCCATGGCTTAGCGGCCATGAATTACTGCGATGTCTAGGCACTGGTCGAGCTGGGCACCACCTAGGGTTGGGTCCTAGTGTCTTCTTCCTTGGGGTCAGAAGGTCAGAAAGGGCCCCTCAGGGAGGCTTTCCCAAAACCCTCCCCGGTTTCTTCCACTACAGAAGTAGTGAGGACAGAAAGGGTCCAGAAGGATCCGCGTGTCTGTGGAGAAATGCCAGAGCTCTTTAGCCTCACGCTGTCTCCCAAAGGGAGAAGCTGTTGGCCTGGGCCTGCCCTTGCTCAGGTCACGGGTCCTCCCAGCAAGACGAGGGTGCCCTCTAAAGAGAGGTGAAAAGAGGCAGTAGGGGTGCCCAGCCGTCCTGCCTCGGCCCCATGTCTGGTCATCTGTGAGAGGGCCTACCTGCCTTGGCAGGAGGGGTCTTGGGAGGTGTGTTTGTGGGCAGCAGGCGGGGGCCCGGGGAGTGAGGAGCCAGGGGAGATGTGTGGGAGGGAGGCCCTTCACTGGCCACTGGGGTGAGGTGAGGAGGGCTTCTCGGGAAGGAATTGGCATTGGCTGCTTGGAAGAGAGTCAGGGGGCCCCGCGCGGGCTGGGTCCTGAAGGGCTTCTTGTCATCCTGTTGTCTGGGGTGGCGGGGCCAGGGCACCCGGCTCAGGGAGGACCACGCCATCCTCTTTATCTTTTAAGGAAAGCAAAGCAAGGGAAAGAAAACCTCTGGCGGGAAAACCTGAAGAAGGAGGAGGAGGAGAAACAGAAGCGCCTCACAGAAGAGAAGATGCGACAAGAAGTGCTGAGCGCTGAGAACATGCCGCGTGAGGCGGAGGACGGGGGTAAGGGCGGGGGTGGGGGGAAGCCATGATCTTCCAGCAGCCACTCGCACTCAGGACCCGGCCTCCAGGGGACAGAGGCAGCGAGGGTTGATCGCCGTCCTCTCCCCCAGGGGAAGCTCTTGCTGCCTCTGAGCCCAGGAGCCCGGCCAGCTGGGTGAACTACAAGGCCTTGTATGCGTTTGAAGCCCGGAGTCATGATGAAATGAGCTTCAGTGCCGGAGACATGGTGCAGGTAGGGACAGCAGTCCCCCACCCAGCTTGGCCTGCCTCCGGGCTGCCGACGGAGGCTCTCCTCGGTGATGTTCCTGGGACCGAGGACGGTTGTGCGCGTCACCCCAGTCGCTCCCTTCTCTCTCTAGGTGGATGAAAAAACCACAGGAGAACCTGGCTGGCTCTATGGCCGTTTTCAAGGCCGCTGTGGCTGGTTCCCAGGAAACTATGTTGAAAAGGCGTCAGCCAGCGAAAAGCTGGCATCCCCCAAGAAGGCCTTGCTGCCGCCTGCGGCTTCTCTGTCGACTATCTCGTGGGCTCCTCCTGAGTAAGTCTGGAGGTGGGGCTCCCCTGACTCGCCGGGATAACGGCCGCCTCTGGGCCTGGGCTTAGCTGTATGCCTGTGCCCCTCCCCCCGCAGATCCCATCCTTCAGGACAGCCCCAGCAGAGACCAGTTACCAGAACGTACCCTTCTCTGCCCTCACTGCTAATGCCAGCTGGCAGAAGAAGTCCGCTTTCACTCGCACCGTGTCCCCCGGATCTGCATCTCCCATTCACGGACAGGTGTGTGGGCCTTGGTTGTCTCTGGGCTTCTCCAGCTCTTCTCCTTGCCCATCCTAGGACATCACTAGGGGCAGCGCAAGCTCTGCTGGGGTTGGGGGGGGGGGGGAAGGCTGGTTTCAGGGCCCAGAAGCTCCATTGGGAACAGGAGCCACGTAGCCACTGGTGCTCCAGGCCTTGTGGTATGGGGGGCTGGGGGGCTGGGCCTTTGTTCTGTCTCAGTAGGTTTTAAGCACAAAATGCATTGTTTACACTTCAGTCAAAAGTAGTCATTTACCTGGGATGCCTTTTCCATGTAGTGATATGGTTGCCTCAGTTTCTTCCCCTGTAAAATGAGTTGGTTAGAGTAGACCTTCCAGCTCTGATATTCAGTGGTCGGTGTTCTGAGCATTGACAGAGACTTAGCAGGCCAAGTGACCTCTAGAGGAGATGAACAGGTCTTGGGAGGTCACTGGCCTCGGGGGGCTGCCAGTTGAGGAAACACAGCACCTTTGACCTACAGTCTCAGAGCTGCCTGGGGGCAGTAAAGGTGCTTGCCCTCTCAGTGACTTGTCCGGGTCACCCAGACAGTAGCCACTAGAGGCAAGACTTGAACCAGGTCTTCTGGCTTTGAGGTCAGCTCTCTCTCCTCTGTGCTGTGCTGCTTCTGTACATGACAAGAATCCACTGACACTCTAAATAGACTTGCTCCACAACTGTCCCACCCCCCTTCGGTCCTTGTATGGCTGGGCTTGTTTTGGTCACTGAATCACCCCTGGCCAACAGACTCCGCACACCCCACCTGGCAGGGAGTGTCTCCTCTTCACTGGCCAGTGGGTCACCACTGCACAGCTGGGTGACCCCTTGGGTCTGCCTTCCCCAGGGACAGACGGTAGAGAACCTAAAGGCACAGGCACTCTGTTCTTGGACGGCCAAGAAGGAGAACCACCTGAATTTCTCCAAGCATGATGTCATCACGGTTCTGGAGCAGCAGGAGAACTGGTGGTTTGGGTCAGTGCATGGAGGCAGGGGGTGGTTCCCCAAGTCCTATGTCAAGATCATCGCGGGGCCAGAAACCAGGAAGGAAGAGTGAGTATCCGTGCTCAGGCCAACAGGAGCCCTGCCTGCCCTTTCTTGGGACCCCTCTCCAAGCCCAGCAGAAGTGTCTACCTCTGAAGAGGGCCTAGTACTTGTGGGTGGAGAGGCTGGAGGCTTCTGTGCTGTGCCGAGTTCCCCTGGAGTCTTCTTTTTGGGTCCTGGCTTTGCTCTCCCCCCCAGACCTGGGGTTGGAGTCTCAGCCTTCTTACCCATCTCACTTTTAATAGTAATAATGATGGCTAGTGTGATACAGTGCTTCAGGATCCCATTTCATTCTCACAGCCACCCCGGGAGCCAGGGGTGATCCCCACTTTATAGATGAGCCAACTGAAACTGATGGAGGGGGTCACACAGCTAATGAGTGTCTCAGGCTGGATTTGAACTCAGCTCTTTCTGACTCCAGCACCCTGCCTTGCCTTCCCTGCCATGCCTTTAGAAAAGCCAAGGTCACCTTACTGAGCTGACACAAGATGCAGGATGAGGAGCAGTTTATCCTGAGGAATAGGTGCAAGAGAGTATGGAGGCACATAGGAAGAGAAGAGGGGGCGTAGGGAGGAGATTGGAGCCGAGCTGCTGAGATCAGTGGGCACCAGCCCCGTGAGAGGGAGCAGTGCGGATGAGAGCTGTGGGTTGTTGGGTTTGTTTCTGAGGGAATGGGGAGGGTCCAGTTGAGCTGGAGCGCAGAGCACAGGAAGGGGAGGCCTGGGACAGTCAACGTTTGTTTAGCACCTACTGTGTAGCAGGCACTGTGCTAAGTGCTTTGCAGTTATCATTTCACTGGAACCTCATGTCCATCCTGGGAGCTAGGGGCTATTAGGATCCCCATTTTACAGGGGACGACACTGGGGCAGACAGGTTCAGTGATTTGCCAAGGTCACCAGCTAGGAGTGTTTTAAGGCAGATTTGAACTCGGGGCTCTGTGTCCTTTGGCGCCTCCATGAGATGTCTGTGCCCTGGACATGTCAGTTGCAGCTAGGTGGTCACATACCTCAGGTTTAAATGAGTCATAGACTTGTCGTGTCACTGGCATTCAGCCCGGTGCTGGGCACACAGTAGGTGCTCAATCAGTGTTGACCCACATTTATGCAGTGCTGGCTGGTGCACTGGGGACCTATGTTGGCTGCAGGAAGCTCAGAACAGGGTTTTCATGGAGGAGCAGTAGCAGTAATGAGAGGGGTACAGGAGCTATGGCCGTAGATAACGAGAGTCTGGGGCCTGAGAGATGGTGGCTCAGCAGCAGTCATGGGGCTGTTCTTGAGACAGTTGAAGACAGAGAAAGCTGGGGGCCAGATGAGAGTACTGACAGACAGATTGGGAATGAGATGGAGGGCCAGACAGACCCCGTGGAAACAAAGGAATGAATAAACAAGTGAAAGAATGAATGGAGAAATGAGTGAATACATAAAAGAATGAGTGAAGAAATGGCTGAGTGAATGAATGAATGAACAAGTGAACAAATGAATGAACTGATGAATGAACAAATGAATGAATGAGTGAATAAATGAATGAACAAACAAGTGAATTAGCAAAGGAATGACTGAGAATAAATGAATGAACAAGTGAATGAATAAGCAAATGAAGGAATGAATAAATGAACAGATGAATGAATGAGTGAATGAATAAACAAAAATCAGTGAATAACTAAAAGAATGAATGAACAAACAAATGAGTGAGTGAATGCATTTAATGAATGGAAAAGAGCCCTTATGAAGGGCTTACTGTGGGCCCAGCACTGAGTCAAGATGAAGTGGGATGAAAAGTCCCCGAGGGAGGGTAGAAGGACAAGTGGACCGGGCAGACGACTGATGATGTGCCTGTGGGGGCCCCTTGATCAGAGTTGTTTGTGTATCAAACCCTCAAAGTGACAGAAGGAGTCAGTTATAGGAATACTAGCGAGCATTTAGGTAACACCTCCTGTATACCAAGCCCTGTGCTTGAGCTCTCTGGACCTTCACCACTGCCCTGGGAAGATCCTCATTTGACATCTGAGGAGACTGAGGCAGGCAGCGAAACCCGGCCTGGCTCCCACAGCCAGCATGTGCGTGCGCCTTGACTGAGTCAGGGCCTGGCCCGACATCCCCTTGGGCTTCACTGCATTGCTCAGAGCTCACGGGATCTGGAAGGTCTGGGGGTGGCTGGCAGGAGCCCTTCCAGCACAGAGCCCCCGCTGCCTGCCTTTGGGCTGTGGCGACCGGCCTGGGACGGTCACACGGCATCTGCGCCGGTGGAATGGCTGGAGATGGAGCCATGAGGCTGAGGACCGAGGGAGGGAGCCCCCCACCTGCTTAGAGTCACTGCCCCACCTTCCGTCTTGTCTCCACCTGCAGACCAGAAGCTATCTATGCCAGCATCAACCGGAAGCCGAGCAGCACGGGCCCGGCACCAGGAGAAGGTAAGGGTCTGGCTCTGGAGGACGCATTTGTGCGTGCTCCGGGAGCCGCACTGGGCATCAGTCCTTTGGACAAGGTGGGGAGAGGAGGTTGCGATTTTCAGTCAGCCGTCACCTCTGGAATTTATAAAATACCTGCTGTGTGCCCAGGTGTGTGTGTGTGTGTGTGTGTGTGTGTGTGTGTGTGTGTGTGTGTGTGTGTGTGTGTGTGTGCACGTGTGCACACGATGTCTGGGTAGATATTGCAGACAGAGTGGTTTGGGGTGGTGGGGAGCATGAGCAGGAAAGGGTGAGGCTGAGGCAGTAAGGCTTAGGGCAAAGGCACCGAGGTGGGAGATGAACTGAGAGAAGGCTGAAAAGCCGGGTTTGGAACTAGAGGGACTTGTGTTTGACTTTGGAGCAGGGTTAGCATCACACCCCTCCCACTAGATGTATAGATACAGGGCAGCTAGGCGGTTCAGTGGTTAGAGCACCAGGTCTGGAGTCAGGATGACCTGACTTCTGATCCTGCCTCAGTTTCCTTACCTGTAAAATGGGATCACAGTAGCACCATCTCCCAGGGTTGTTATCAGTGAGATGATGCTTGAACAACCTGGTGCCTAGCACAGAGTAGGTGCAAGATAACCACTGTTAATTAAAGTCCTGACTCCCAGGCCAAGAGTGCCTGGGGTGGGGCCAGACTCGTGGGGGATGGGCTGGACACAGGGAGATGCCATGGCCACAAGGGGAGATTGGGCTGAGCCATCTGCCGCTCCATAGGGGCTCCCAGGGCTCTGTACTCCCCCCAGGAGCACCTGCGTGACCAGCTGGTCGGGCCTGTCCGTTGGTCACCAAGTCACCATTTCCTTTCCTTCCTGGCAGAGTATGTGGCCCTCTACTCTTATTCGAGCTCAGAGCCTGGAGATCTGACCTTCACCGAGGGGGAAGAGATACTGGTCACCCAGAAGGATGGGGAGTGGTGGACGGGGAGCATCGGCCACCGAGCCGGCATCTTCCCATCCAATTATGTCCGAGCGAAGGAACCCGAGGTAGAGACAGGCAGGGACCCGGGGATGGTGGGGCCGTGCCCTGGGGGAAGGTGGAGGCCTGCAGTCTGGTTTGGCCAGGCCACCGGACAGAGGGCCCACGATCAGCTGTCTGGGCACCAGGGGGCTGCTGCGTCATTGAGGTGGTGCCATGAGTTACCTCTTGGTAGAGCCCGCCCGTGAGCCGTGCCCTGCCCTTGAAGAGCTTCCACTCTACCCAGATTCCATGGAGATGTGGGGACACAGTAGAAGAATCCCAGGCTGCCCTGGTGAGGGCCGGGTGGAAAGAGCAAGGGAGGTGCGATTCCACTGGGTCCCCTGTCAGCCAGCCATCTTTACAGCCTCAGGCCCCTAGAAGGGGAGGCAGGAAGGGGCGATGGTGGGGAAGGGTCCGAGAGAGGCTCGCACCTTGGCCAGCTGCACTCCTGAAGTGTGCCAGGCACTCGTCCCTTCACAGCAGAACACTAGTCCCTTGTGTGATTAGGAATCTGTGAAGCACCTGCCATGTGCTTGGTTGGGGGCAGACCCCTCTTGGTTGCTGTGCTGTGCACTGTTGAAGAGAGTTGCTGGAACACAGACAGGCTGACAGCTGGCTCCCAGCAGTCTGTGCTGAGATGCCCCCCGGCCAAAAACCTGACGTGGCAAATACAAGACCAGGTGGACTGTTTGTGGCCTGAGGCCAGGGAGCTGGGCAGGACCCTGGGGAGAGCCTTAGCAGGGAGGTATCATCCGGAGCAGCCCAGGCCGAGCTCAGCACACTCCCCATTGCCATCGAGAGCGTCTGCCGCAGGCCTAGCGCCGCTTTGAATGTCAAACATCTCATATCGTTCTTGAGGAAAAGATGGAAAGAAATGGAGGGGGCAGCAGTCCCATGAAGTAGATCTGGAGCTGGTGGGGTGTCCAGAGCCCAGGAGGGAGATGAAGGAGAGAGGGTGGGCGGCTGAGATGGTCCTCCAGTGAGGATGAGCAGACAGGTGGGAAGACCCAGCAGTATGCCCTGGTCCAGCAGCAGGGCAGTGGCAGCGCCCAGGAAACTGGACACTCAGTGCTTTCTGCTGGGGCCTGTCTGCCGCTTTCAGGAAGGGAGGAGTGAACCTGTGAGTGCAGCCAGGAGAGGGTTGGGAAAAGTAGGGCGTGGGCCCACAGGCTGGGCAGCAGGAATTAGGCCCAAGAGTTCTGTGAATCAGGAGCAGCACAGCCCTGGGGCCAGTGGCCCACCTTCAGTTTGTTAGAAAGGACAAGTGAGGCTGGTCTGGGGTCACAGGACAGAAGCTCTTGCCTTTCCTTTCCAGGCTCTGGGAAGCGCTGGCCGAGCTGGGGGCCTGAACAAAAAGCCAGGTAGGTGGGGAGGGCGCGGGGGCAGGCAGGAAGCTGCCAGAGTCCAGCCTGGCCCCACTTACCCTCTCTTTCTGTTTGTCTTGGCAGAAATCGCCCAGGTCACTTCCGCCTACATGGCATCGGGGGCGGAACAGCTCAGCCTCTCCCCCGGGCAGCTAATCCTGATTCTGAAGAAAAACGCCAGTGGCTGGTGGCAGGGGGAGCTGCAGGTAACCATGACCTCCTCCTCTTCACCGCTGAAGGACCTGGTCCACAAGCCCTGCCTGCTTTTGTGGGCCCGTGGGGGGATCTTGGCCACGGGCACCAGGGGGAGCAGAAAGATCTAGGATCGCCCCAGGAAAGCAGGTGCAGAGCCTCACTTCCCTGGCCTCTGCCCTGGGGTGAAACCAGGAGGGGCCGAGGATGCCCCAGAACGGTGGACTGTGGGCTGGCCCCTGCCTCGGGTCCCAGCCTTGGAAGGACCTGGCCTGCTGCCTTGGACCAGCACAGGCAGTCGGGAGAGCTTTGAGAATCAGCCACGCTCCTCCCCTGGACTTCTGCTTTGTTGAGTGTCCAGTGCACCACAAAAATCGAAGTTTCCTTGCAAGGGGGATGGGAGGTGGGGTGTGTGGGGGAGGGATGTCTGGCAGAGCCTGGTAGGCAGAGATGCCGATGGGGCTGGGGCCCCTGGCCCCCAGGCTCAGATGCCATCCCTCCCTCGAGGACCTCATGCCACAGTCACCTGGGGGGTGGTCTGTCCATGATGCTTGTGCCCCAGGGCGTGTTGGGCCTTTGCTGTGACGTCACTTTGAGGGACCTCTGATAGCGGGTGATAGGCTGAGCCTTCTCTGCCCAGGCCTGAATGGGGAGTTCTCAGAAGCTGGGCAGTTTCCCTGTGTCCCCTTTGGCTGTGGCGTCAGGCCCCCTGACCCTGAGCCCTTTTGCAGGCCAGAGGGAAAAAACGCCAGAAGGGATGGTTCCCGGCCAGTCACGTGAAGGTCCTGGGCCCGGGTAGTGAGAGAGGGACCCCCGCCTCTCAGCCAGGTACCGCTGGGCGCCCAGTCAGCTGGAGCCAGGGCGTGGGAGGAGGGGAGGGGCAAGGGCGGCCTGGCCGTGTGGGCCGGCCCTCCTGGAGCCAGGCGAGGCAGCGATGGCGGTGAGCACAGAGCAGGGAGGCACCAGAGACACAGTTATCGCCTTCCCACATCTCTGTAAAAACTGCCCGGATCCTCGTGGGAGGAGATGGGTGGACGGCCGTGCAATACATTGGTCAAAACTAGCAGCCACATGATGCCCTGGGTAGAGGGCTGGACTCGGCATGAGGAAAACCTCGGCACAAGTCAGTCTGTGCGCATTTATGAAGCGCCTGCTGTGTGCCCGGCCCTGCTAGGAACGGAGGGAAGGCAAAGCCAGAGCCTGCCTCCTGGGAGCTCGCAGTCGCCAAATGCGGGCAGGGGGAGGAGGCAGGCGCCCGTGCCCGCACCCCCTGACTGTTGGGTGTCTCCCTCACAGCATGCCAGGTCATAGCAATGTATGACTATGTCGCCAACAATGAGGATGAACTGAACTTCTCCAAGGGCCAGCTGATCACTGTTTTGAACAAAGATGATGCCGCCTGGTGGCACGGAGAGATCAGCGGGGTGACCGGCCTCTTCCCTGCCAACTATGTGAAGATGACCACAGACTCGGACCCAAGCACACAGTGTGAGTAGCATCCGTCCGGTGCGAGGGCGAGGCAGTGGGGGGTCTCGTCCAGGCCTGTGGCTCATTTGTTCCCTCGGCCTCATCGCTTGACGTTGTGTGTCTGTCACAGGCCCAGACGCAGGCTTGGCCTCCATACAGTAGCTGGGGAGCAGGCGTCCTGTGGCCCTTTGGCAGCACCCAGGCCCTGCCTAAGCCTTGCCTTGCTTCCCTGGGTGTCCCCATGCGGCCACTTTGGGCCCGTTGCTTGTCCTTGGGGTGTGCAGGCAGGACCTGGAATGAATAATGCGAAAGGTCAGGCCCCAGGCAGTGACAAAGTGTGTCTCCCTCCTTGAGACTTCTAGCAAGCGTCTCCTGCCATATCCCTGATGAGAGGAAGGGAGGGAGGGAGAGAGAAAGAGAGAGGAGAGACAGAAAGACAGAAAGAGAGAGGAGAGAGTGAAGGAAAGAAGAATGTAGAGAGAGAGAGAAAAGAGAAAAAGGGAAGGAGAGAGAAAGTAAGAAAGAGAGAAAAGAGGGTGGAGAGAAGGAGGTGGGGAGAGGAAGGAGAGAGAGAGGGAGGGAAGGAGAGAGGAGAAACAAAGAGACAGACAAAAAGAGAGGAGAGGTAGAGAGAGGATGTAGAGAGAGAAAGAGGGAGAAGAGAGAGAGACGTGAGGAGAGAGAATAGAGAGAGAGGAAAGAGAAAAGGGGAGGGGTGGGAGCAAGTGAGAAAGAGAGAAGGGGGAGAGAAGGAGTTGGGGAGAGGAAGGAGAGAGAGGAGAAACAGAAAGAAGCAGACAGAAAGAGAGGGTGGAGGAGAGAAGGACAGAGAGAGGAAAGAAAAAGGGAGGGAGGGAAAGAGCAAGGAAGAGAGAAGGGGGTGGAGACAAGGAGGTGGGGAGAGGAGGGAGAGAGAGGGAGGGAGGGAAGAAGAGAGAGCAGAGAAGGTAAAGGAGAGAAGGATGTAGAGAGAGGAAAGAGAAAGAGAGGGAGGGAAAGAGGAGAGGGTAGAAGAGAGGGCAGGGAGAAGAGAGAGAGAGGCAGAGGGGAGGAGAAGGAGGGGGGAGGCAGCCGTTGACGGTGGATGAATCTGCCCAGAAGCCCGCCCACCTTGTGCCACTCTGGTCGCCATGCTATGGCTAGGCCATCCGATCCCAAATGGGCTCGTCTCCACCCAGATGAGCAATGCTCTGTGGACGCTGGGCTCTTGATTCTCTGAATTTAATTTTCATCCTGTTGCTGACCCGTGTGACTGGTGGGGCTCACAGTCCCTGCCTCGTGAGGCCACGGCCACGTGGTTCACTTTTCATGACCTGTGGGCTGGGAGAGGGCTGGGCCAGTCCTGGTTGTGCAGCAGGACTCTGACCTCTATGGGGCAGTCTGTGGGAGGGGCATCTTCCTAAATCATGTTTTTAAAGGCATAAAATGAAATAGGTAGAATTAGCTGGGGGCCTGCCCCCATCTTTGGAGGACATGGCTGTCCCCAAGGTTCTTGTGTTCAGCAGCCTGTCTGTAGCTTAGCCCCTGGGCTTCCCTCTCCTGAGTCCTTGGCAGCAGATTCTGCCCCCTCCCCATTCCAGATGGCTGCCAGCGGCACCCCCAGGATCCCAGGTGGGACCACTTGCTGAATGGCTCCAGCCACACCCCTCAGAGGGATGGGGCAGGTGGGTCAGGGTGTGTGCTGACCCCCTTGGCCCTCAGCCGGCTGTGTCTTAAGTTTAGAGAAGGAGAGCCGTGCACATGGTGGACGGTCCCCTTCCTGTTACGTCTGTGACTGGTTCCCCGGTGAGTAGGCATTTGGGGTCACTTCTGACGCTCAGCGCCCTTCTATGGCACAGACAGGAGAGCGTGGCCTTAGGTTTTTCGTGACTAGAATTCTCAGTTCTCCCTCGTTGTATGCGTGCCTGATCGTTTATGTAGGCAGACAGTCAGTGAGCACTTCCTGAACACTGGCTGTGTGTGGGCCCTGGGGGTGGGGTCCCAGCCCATCTGATGGGGGAGACCACCTGTAAACATGGATGCTCAGACAGGGTCAGTAGTGAGGAGTCTGGGCCGTGGGGCTGGAGGAAGTCCTCAGGTTTGCGCTGGAGAAGTGAGTGGGGATGGGGCTCCCGGGCAGCTCCACTCCCGTGCGGGTGCTGCGAGTCTGCCGCGTGTCTGCACAGCGCTGCTCACTTATTCCTCATCTGTTTTCTTTTAGGATGCACTATTGTCTTCCAGCGTGAAAGTTCCTCAGAGACCCACTATCCTCCCAGTTTGGCTCTAGCGTGGAGGCCGGGCAGCTGCCCTGGCCGCTCGGCTCCTCCCCTAAGAGGCCTTCACCGCGGGCGGACGTTAGCCACCTGGGGCTCTGGGCAGAGGGGTCCAACTTAAATTTCGTGGTTCTGGGGAAAGCTTTGAAGGATAGTGGGTCTTTGTGTGGCTCTCACTGCTGGTCCCGCTCTTGCTCCTCCCTTCCTGTCTGGCCCAGGAGGTCACTGACCGCTAGCCTCTTCAGTCTCCCTGCCTTCGAAGGCGGGAACCCTGATGCACAAAGACCCACTATCTGCCCCCTTTCTGCTTGCTCTTTTATATGGGCTGTGACGGCTATGCTTTTCTGCGAGTGTTAGTGACCGACGAATGTTCTGGCCAGCGTCTCCATTTTAAATGTTTGTGGTGGGCTTGGTGCGGGGGGCAGGGTGCTGGCCCTTCGCCCACCTCCTTCCTTCTCATGAGCCTCAGCTAATGCTGCCTGAGTGCCCATCTGTGGGTGGGCACCAGGGCTTTCTGTGGTGGACTTAGTGTCTTCACAGAGTGGAGAGGTGACCCGTCCGAGCTGTGGCTGTGTGCCCAGAGGCCGTCCCAAGAACGTGGCCAACAGTGGCAGGGCATCCGTGCTTGGCCTTGTTAACCTTGGGTGGCCTCTGAGGTCCTTCTAGTTTTGAAATCAGGCGTGTGGCATCCAGGCAGTCACGAGTGGCAGCTGGCGTCTGCGCTTGGCCATGATCTCTTAGTGTGACACGCGCTGATCGGCCCAGATTTTGGTCGACGGCTCGTGACGAGTCCCCTTCTTGGGCCAGCTCCGGGGCCAGCGGGTGGGGAGGAGGTACACGAGGTGGAAGCTGCTCGCTGCACCTTAGCTCAGGTCTCACGGTCCACGCTGCTTGTTCATGAAGGGAAGGCATCCCAAAGGCGGCTAGCTGTCCTGCTGGCTCAGCGGACTTTCTGGCCATCAAAGTGTTTCACTGTATTGGAAAGCTTAATAAATGGTGTTTATGCAATTTTATAATGTTTACAAATGACTGTGCAATCCACTCTGTGTGAATGTCAAGGCCTTATCAAGAGGAGTGTCCATGGAATCCCAGAAGTGAATTTTCTCCAAAGAAAAGTCCTCCCCCGCATCCTAACCTAGCTCCTCCTAAGCCTCGCTGTGCCATAGTTATTGGATTGTGCCTCCATGCCGTGGACTTGAGCCGATCCTGCTGGGCAGCCCGAGTCACGAGCATGATGTACTGGAGAACAGTCTAATCTGGTGCACACTGAGCCCAGCCAGGGAGAGTTCTGGGAAATGAGAGCCTTTCTCCATGTGCCTGGTGCCTGGGGGCAGCGGCGTGGCCATGTGACTGGGGCTGGTTGTTGGGGGGGCGGAGCTACCGAGCATCCCCGGAGGCTGCCAGGAGGTGAGGGGTTGGGGAGTCCTAAGGCACCCTCTCCTTCCTTCTTTCCAAACTCATCTTTGAAGCCAAGCTTCCCTGGAGTTCAGACAGGGCTCAGCTTCTGGGGATCTTGGCAGTCAGGGCTGATCTGGGGACAGAGAGCAGTTGAAAAACCAAGAATTGAGGTATGGGTCACTGCTAATTAACCTCAGGATTTGACAGGACTCTGGCCTCTGGGTCGTCTTGTCTTCCTGGCCATAGAATTAGCCCTCTGATGTTTGCTGCTTAATGATTTTAGGCTGTCTTTTTATAGCCAGAATCTTGTGGCTTCTCCTTGGGTAAACATGGAGAATGCAGAATGAATGATGTGGGAAGCAGAGAAAGCCCCTGGCCATCTGGCTGTCCTCCCTCCATCCCCCAAGTTGGAATGTCCCGGAGAGTCAGGGGGAGGCCCTGTGTCCTGAGCCAGGCCTCGCCCTCCAGGTCTCCCAGATGCTGCCCCGTTGATTTCCTGGCCGAAGGGCCTTAGGGATGTCGTCTATTACCAGGCAGAGGGCAGCAGAGACAGGTGGGTGGGGGCGACTTCCATCCTCTCTCCTGGAGCTTTACCTTAACCATGATGCACAGCCTGGGTGGGACAACCTTGACGTGCTGCTGAATTCGGTTAGCTTGAAGCGAGTGTGTGGGAGCCTGGGAGGAGCAGCTGGTGGGCTCAAAGCTCTCCTTGCCAAGTCATTGAAAAGCGGTTTTTACCAAAGTTTAAATACGTGTAAATAGGAATCTTTAACCGAAAGTCCAGATGCTCTCCCTTGGCGGGGTGGGATCCCCTAAGGAATGCTGCTCTCGCTGCTGTGATGTCATGCATTATTGAATTGTTGCCAAGCACTGTGAGGCACCGTCAGTCAGACTGGCGTCTTGTTGGGGGCACTGCGTGAATGCTGGGCATGCTTGGGCATGAGGCCATTTGTTTTCTTTGGATTTTTCCTAACTGTCAAATAACTATGCAAGTGTGTTTATTAAAGGGACACAAACCAGCCGATTTGTGTGTGTGTTTCTTCGGCAGCATCCTGGAGGGAGAGCTCCTTGGTTCAGGATTTAGCCCTGCACAAAGTCCCAGCCCACTGGGCTTCCCAGCCTCTCTCCACTGAGGGTGCCCAGGAACAGATCTTTCTTGGCTGTTGCCAGAAATTTGTTTGAGGCGAAGAGTCTGGGAATCATGTCACCCCCACCCCCAATCTGCCTTCAGGAAGAGGAGGAGGAAGGTCCTTTGCCTTTGGTGGTTTGTCAGAGGCACGAGAACACAGCCCGAGGTGGGGATGAGCTGTGTCTCTTCAGAAGGGCCGCGAAGGTCCACGCATGGGGCCCAGGATAGGCAGGGGGAGGCCC